TGTTACCAAGGTCACTGAGGGTCTGCGCACTTTCAAGTTCCTTGACAGGTACCCATTGGACAACTAGGTAGTGAGACATTTTTGGCAGTTTGTATATAGAGGGGTTTTTTTTATTTAGATTCTTGTGATGAGTACTTTGGTTTAATACCAAGTGGATAGGTTTGTTGAAGTTTAGATCGGTCCGTTAGTGACAAATGCAATTTGGTGTTAGTCTGCTACTATTACTTGAGAAATTGGGCCAGCAGGGTCTGTGAAAGGTGCCATGATTGCTTGTTTTCTGCCAGTCAAGCGTGTAAACGCAAAAGAAGGTGATGTTGTGCGCGCGCATGTGTGCAAGGTGGGCCCGAGGGATTAATGTTGGGCCATGACAAGAGCGGTCTACCAAAGTAATGAGTGTCCATGTTCTGGACTGCTCAATGGGACCCACGACGAGTAATTTCACACCGTGGCCGAGGGTATGTCACATGGCAAGCGGCCCAGAGAAGATAGTCGGGATGTCAGTACTGGAAGAGGGAGCTCGGGTGTCTGCCACGCCTCGCCACGTTCTCCACGTTCTCCACACGGCGTGCTGCCGCTCACGACGTCAACGGCGAAACGGCGAACAGGGAGTTTGCAGGACGCGGCGATGCAGTGCGTGTGCTGGGGGGCTGGGCAAACACACGCGCACACGCACACACACACACACAAACCAAAAAGGTCAGACAGCATCTGGGAGTCTGGCTGGGTGGTGCTCACGCGTGGCTCAGGGCACAGTGCAGGCCATGGGGGTTTGGTTTCCTGGTCTACGGCTGGTCAGAGTGGGCGGGGCTTGGCAGCTAATGCAGGGAAGGGCAGGGGAGAACACGGCAGGCCGAGATTATGGCTACCTATTACTACTCTACCGGCGCAACCCCGTGTGTGTGCTGATACAACGCTGTCGAACTCCTTACTCGACGTCTTGTCTTCTTTGCAAACACTGCGAGTTACACCCCCAAATTCCCCGTACGTTTCAGCCCTGCAGCCGGCTCGCACACCACCACATTACACATTCGGCGCGGCCTAGCTCGCTGGTCGCTCAATAATTGGCCGTCTTGCCCATCTCGCCGCTTCTTTGAGCGACGTTGCCAACACCGCCTTTGTACCCTACAAAGACAAGATACACACACACATATATACATACGCACAAACACGTCATGTCAACAGCAGCAGCAAGCAAGCCGCCTGCCACGAGCACGTCTCGTCGCGACGCCGCTGCCAAGACGTCGTCAGCTTCACCAGGGGCTGCAAGCCGCACGCCTGCCCGCTCCTCCACCCCGACTACCAATGGCGCCAGCGCAGTCTCGCGCACAAAATCTGTTCGTGGAGGCACCACCGGCGCCCCAGTCTCTGCACGCGCTGCCGTCAAGAAGCCTGCTACCCCCTCGAACCTGAGCAATGCGTCGCAGGCCGATGCTGACGAGGCCCGAGATGAGCAGGCCGCCCTGCTTCAAGATCTCAAGGAGCGCCTGCAAAAGGTAGAGGGCGAGGCAGAAGAGCGCCAGAAGCAGATCGAGGTCCTGACTGCTCGGCTGGACGAGGCGCTCGCAGAGCAGGCCAAGCTCGAGGAGCGCGCACACGAGGAGGAAGAAAAGGTCGAGGCGCTAGAGAACGAAAAGCGCGAGCTCACCCGCCAGCACCGCGAATTCGAGGCCATCTACGAAGCCGAGCGTGCCCAGGCGATGAAGGAAAAGGAGGAGACACAGGCACGACAGGAAGAATTGCAGGGCACTATTCAGCGACTCAAGGAGACCATGGCTACCAAGAACATGCCCACTGCTGAGCCTGAGGGCGAGGGTGAGCAGCACCTATCACGTACGTGTAAGTAGTAACCATTTGCCGTCAACACCACGGTGTGATCATGTGCAAATACTGACTTGGTTGCAGCGAGTTTCCGCAATGCGTCTTCGCGCAACAACTCTTCGCAGAACCTCGAGAATGTCGCTTCTTTCGCACCACCCAACTCGGTGCAGCGCAGCAACTCGCGCAGCAACTCGAAGCTCATCAACCAGAAAGACAAGATCATTGAAGATCTGCGCCTAGAGCTCGCAGAGTACCAGGTAAAGATGCTTGAAGTAGAGAACGCTGGTGGCGGTCGTCTGCGCGAGCTCGAGAAGCAACTGCTGGAGACGCGCATGACCAACGCAAGGCTTATGGAGGACAATGAGAGCTTCCAGCTTCTGCTGGGTGAGAAGACCCTTAACGGAGATTTGAGCCGCGGCGATTTCTTGCGAGAGGCTTCCAGTGCCGACGACCGCGCTCCATCTCGCAGCGGCCCTTCAACAAGCCTGGCTGACGAGCTTCAATCGGCAGAAGAGGGCGACGCGGAAGTTGTTCGCAAGCTCGAGACAGAGCTCAACAGCATGAAGGCCCAAAACCAGGCCCTCACTCTCTACATCAACAAGATCATTGGCCGCCTACTCACCCACCAAGGCTTTGAGTCTGTCCTTGGCAACGACGCCGACAACGAACAAGGAGGCCCCGACAAAAATAAGGAGCTTCCACCTCCCCCACCTCAGGAGAATGAGCAGCCCCAAGGCTTCCTCCAGCGCGCCAAGTCCGTGGCCATGGGTAACAAGAACAAGCCTCGGCCCCTCAGTGGCACCATGGGTCCGCCACCAACCCAGCAGAGTGCACACGAAGACCCAGCCACAGCACCCAGCATTCCCCTTACGCGCTCTGCATCAAGTCGCCACCCAAGCGGCAGCCATCGCCGATCAACGTCCGATGTTCCTGGCGCCGCTGGTATTGTTAACAACATGTACCGCCCCGGAGCGTCCAACCCGGCTTCGCCCGGTGTGGTCTCGCCCCGCAACTCCTTTTTTGGCCTACCAGTCAACAGTGGGCCAGGGTCCAGCAACCCCGTTTCCAGAGTCCCATCTGGTCAAGGCCCTATCCCAGAGGACAAGGAGGTGGATGCTCGCACCGAGTCTTCGTCGGCCAGTCACGTTGACACACCTAGCCCGCCGCGTCAGCTCGTGCGCAGTGAGACCAGCACTAGGGTCATGACAGGCAAGGGTATGCAACCGCTGCGCCTGGTCCAGAACGAAGAAGAGGCTATGAAGGCGCGCAAAGCTGCCAACAGAACCAGTTGGTTTGGTGGTCTCTTTGGTCAGACGCCACCTCAGCAGCAACAGCAACAGGACACTGCCTAGTTTGCGTCGTCGACTGGTCTGACTTGCTTGCTTGCTGGTTGGACTTCCTTCTTCTTTCATGTTTGATGTGAACTCTTTTTCTGATCCCCCTCATGTAAGTAACTTTCATCATCATCACGAGCCCAATATTTTTATTTTTGGATACGACGGCACACGGTACGACTTAATGCAGGAACAACAACAACAACTCAAGAAGAACGAAGTAAATGGCCAAAGAAATACTAGTTTTTTTTTATTTCACAGAATAAATGGGGGGGGGGGGGGGGAGAGAATTGAATTGATGGGAAATATCGTGTCCATATGTCTTTAACTTTTTTTTTGAAAGTCGAACATATGGGCGGTTTTTTTCCAGTATTTTTTGGGGTGCAACGTGGATGGATATGCTGGAAAGGATATGAAGAAGAAAGGAGTTGGGGGGTTTTTTTCTTAATCCATAATTATTGTTTTCTACTCGGTCCCTAGCCTCCCCTCCCCTTGATTCTTTGTATTACCCCCCACCCCAACGAAACAATGTATGTAGATAAGACGACCAAACCTCTCACATCTTTCACGTCTTTAGCTTAGTAAGTTTATTCTAGTCTTCCTTCCTTTTTTTTTGTCTTTCCTTCTCAGTGAAAATCGTTTACTTGTGAATCGTTTAAAATTCGTTCATTTACTTTCATCACACCTTCGCACATCTCCCCTCGTCATTCTCCCCCTCCACAGCCCACAGGTCCTAAACTCAAACTCCCCTTCCTCGCACTACATCTCGCACACGTCGTTCCACTGTGTACACGTCTACGCTGCGTCCCCTGCGGACATAGTGGCGGCGCTAGGCTGTGCGTGATGGCGTGGTCGCAGTGTGTATACTGGATTTCCAGCACGTGCGCGCATGGTTGTGGGGGTGGAGAGGAACATGTGTGGAGGTGGATGTAGCACATGGGTTTTTTTTTCAGGGTGTGTTTCGGGTCGGTTGGTTGGTGTGTTTGGGGTTTGGTGAGTTTCTTATTTCTGTGTAAGAATTACCCTTTCCCCTCTCCTGTACAATGTAGTGTGTCTTTGTGTCAGTGTTTTTATTTTTATTTTTAACGGAGATATTTAGCTTCTGGGGTTGGATTGTGGGGTAGAGTATTTGCTTGTTTGGTGGTGGTGGTGATTGTTCGGTATAAGTATATGTGTTTTGAGATTTGTTTTTTGTTCGTATCTCTTTCAGGTACTGAATCCTTAGGACTGAGACGGGAAACAGTGTTTTGTTGTCTTGTGTTTGAAATGTCTTGGGTAGCGGGGTTGAAACGATGATTTGATGTCGTTTGGTTTTGTTTGGATGGCTGACGCACTTTGTCTCTGAGTGGGGGTTGGTGTGTTTGTGGATAGATTTGTCAGTATGGTATCTGGAGAATATATGGTCACTGGCAGGCTTGTCTGTGAAATTTCTTCTGGAATCGTTGCGTCTCTGGTTATATCATAACATTTTCAATATCAACGCAAGCACAAAATCATATGATTTTCTGTCACTCATCCTGTTGTCCACGTGTGCTTTTAATCATTACAATTCTTATAAAATTAATCAAACATTATTCGTAGTTATGTGTAGCTCATTTCGTTCCAAGGTATTAGTAGACTTTTATACGCCTTATCATACAGCCAGGTCTCTCAGTCAACATGAGTGAGATTGTATAACGCCGTCAATGCACGAGTAGAACCCATGGGTGCCAGCGCCCATGAAGCTGCCAAACAATCAAATATCCCCAATCCCACCTAACCATGCATGATGAAAGCAAAGTCCTGAGATTATTTCACAACATCAAGTAGTGAACCACAATCTGCCTAGTTCCCAGACCCCTCCAGAATCTATGCAGCAATCGTCTTTGGCGCCGCAGCTCGCTCGACCCATTCTCCCAATCCATGATCTGCAGTCGCCCAGTAGTCGCGCGTCTTCTTGTACATGGCCAAGCGTTCCGATAGACTCGGGATAGCCATGATCTCTTGAAAGGGAATCGGACGCTCCTCTACAGGCACATTTGTAAAGTCAATGGCAGTACCCGAGTCTGTGCGTTTGGGTTTGGCCCATGGCTGGGGTGGTCGGATGCTTGCCTCGGATATCTTGCGCTCTCCAGGAGGTGGGAGATGTTGCTCGTTCCAAGCAATCTTTCTTTGAGATGTGGTTATTGCGTTGTATGGTTCAAGATTGGTGGCGGTTGAGTACATTGACGAGGCTGTGGTGGGACGGGCCGATGCGAGCTCTGGTTGGAATGTACGACTTTTTGATACTGAGGTGGAATTGTCTGAGTCGCTTTCCAATCCGATGCTCTGTCCTAGTCGTGTTGTGCTACGCTGAGTCCTTAGAGGAGTAGGACTGCCATCAGACCTTTCCACTTGGCTGTTCACCTGACTTTCTGGCAGATGCCTCTCCTCGCTTCCACGACGTGATCTTGAGTGAGGAGAGAAAGACTTTTGTCTCAATCTAGAGAAACTCTCCTTCCACGACAGGCCTGGTCGTCGTGTGTTAACCGGTACGGTATCTGAACGGCCGCGTGTTTCTAACTTGGCGCCGTCAGGGCCAGGCGGCGACCGTTCATTCGGTTCAGCTTCATTGTGACTGAAGTAGTTGTCAAGGCTTGAGCTCCCACTACCCATAACATTGACGCCACCGACATGTCGCGCGTCCATTGGCTGTGAGATGACAATTGTCTTAGTCTTAGCCATGACTTCGTTATGGTACCCAATAGGGAATTGCTGTAGATTGTTAATGCACAAGTGGTTCGATTGATGTGCGTTGACTGACTGGAAGCGGATTGTTTCGCGTATATGTGGGCCTTGAGCAAGTATATGCCGAGGGGCGGAGGATGCAACAACGTGAAAATTTGGTGATTCAAGTGCGGCGTGCGGAGTGAGAACTGTGTGTTTTCGATTCACCCCGACAATCGAGGCTATTATGATCTGCAGGATGTGTGATAATGCTGTGAGGATGCGTACCGGATGTTGAACTAGGCAACAAGTAGAGGACAATTGAATAATGCGTTCAAGAAAGAAACAGAGCAGGATGCAGGCCCGTTGAAAGTCACGACTTAATCTCGCAATGATGCAACCACAATTGCCGTCTGACGTTCTGATACTCTCAACGTGGCTGATTGTCGGAGTTGGTTCGTCTCAGGCAGAATCGGGTCACCTGAGACACGCAACGTCTGTGAACCACGAGTGTAACTGCGGGTAAAGTCGAACCCGTTTCAGTACCAAAATCAGGGAGATAATAACCGCAGGACTGAACAATGTTATGGATATGTCCTGTAAAAGTCTCCTGGTATAGCCTTGTTATTGCTTGTGAGCTCTTTGATGCAAGTCGGAAAATCGCCTACCCATGCCAGGGTACTCTCGCGGACATTCTTAGGACAGTAGAGGAGTCTAAGTGGATCACGTTAATTCATGTCATAATCCTCTCTTGACGTCTTTTCAACAAGAGAGCAAAGTAGTGATACGTATAGCGTGTCTCCATAGACCGGTCAGGCGTGAGCCGAGGCATGTCTGCGGGTGAAGATCAACATCCTGCGCAAGCCACCAGGTATCACAACACCAGTTTCTGTGGAACATCCGGGCAAAGTCCTGGATAATATCTGGCGGTCAAACATGCTGCTTTGTGCCTGGTATAATGACGTCGAGTCTTTTGTATGCAATACGCGCGCGGCATGACCCGGAACAAACGCCAGAGAGAATAATAATCGCTTTGTAGCTGGTACACAACGTCATGTTACATCAAAGAATTTTGCAGGACAATACTGTCCTCTTATTCTCTGTAGAACGCGCGCTTCCTCTAGGCGAAGCGCACGATATCGAGCTGAAGCGAACTCGCGACGTGGACAAAGAAGTCCTTCTTCTACGCGCGATCCTTCGGTATGCATTCAACACTACGTCCGGCCAGCGAGGCTGGATAAAAGGTGTGGTGAAGCAAGGGGTGTCTCCAATCATTGCCCATGTCTCATCCCAATTACCCACTTATTGGTAGGAATTGGCCAATCACACCTATTCAGGACTATGGCTCCGTTGCTCACGAGGTTAGCGGCTCCTCACCACCATCGTGAGGCTCCACAGCAACAGCACTTGATGTTGCTTGGACCCTCATCCAGGGGGCGCCATCATGCATTCTTGACTCTGTGCACAGGTAAGGCTGGCGGCTCTTGCTACGGAGACTTGCTTGACAGGTGCCAGACGGAATACTCCACCGTGATATATGCTGTATATAAGTTATCATGCCTCATGCTGCCTGGAAGACATTCAACAGCCCAGCTCTGAAGATTCCTTCGCTCGTCGCTTCTCAAAGTATTCACTCTTTTTCTTCCTTTCATCGTTCCTGGAGAATCGATAGGCCGGTCCACTTTCGCTATATACCCTCCTTTAGACCCCCTTATTCACTTTGACGACTACGAACAAGACAAATCAGTGTCCCATATTCACTATGAAGAACACAATCATTGCCCTTGCCCTTGCCGGTGCTGCGGCTGCACGCCCAACCGCTGTCATGACGAAGCGTGAGGTTCCTCAGGAGCACTCTCATCGCAACGTCAACCTCGCTGTCAACACACTGTTGCAGCAGAACAACCCCGCCAAGATTCAGGATCCTGTTTTTGCTCTACTTGGAGCAAAAGCAGCAGCAGAGGGAGCTGGAGACATTGCTGATGCTGGTAAGTTATTTCATCATCAGTACTAGTGCAGTGAAGCTAATCATTTATAGACTGCCTTCAGCTAGCCGTAGCCGACCAGGCCTTTACCAACGCCAAAGAGGCTGGTGATGTGGAGGGTATGACTATGGCGCTTATATACCGTGCTTTGGAGCGCAACACTGGCTCCGTCGGCCTGAAGTCTGTTCCCTGTGAATCGATTAAGGCAGTCAACCCTGAGATTGCTGCACTCCAGCAGCACCAGGACCCTGCTGCTGATGGCGCGCAAGCGCTCAACAAGCAAATTGCTGAAGAACTTGCACGCCAAATTGCTTCTATTGGTGGCGACCCATCGATGGCAAATGAGGCTTCTACATTTGCCCCTGGCAAGATTGGTGACCCTACCGGAGCTGGAAACACTTGCGATGACGCGACTGATGATGCCGGATGTATCAACACCCTTGGGCTTCGTGTTGACGATCTCAGTGAGGCCGAGATCGCTGCTGCAGTCGCTGATGTTAAGGGAGCTGCTAATGGAGCCGCAAAGGGAGCTGCAAAGGGAGCTGCAGCCGACAACAAGAATGCTAACAAGGACAATGAAGCTGCGGCAGAGCAGGCTATTACTTGCGGAAATGATGCTGCCGCCAGTGCAGGCCATGCTGCCGCCGCCAAAGATGGTGCTGCTGCTGCCGCCAAAGATAATGCTGCCGCCGCCAAAGACGGCGCTGCCGCTGCTACCAAAGATGACGCTGTTAGCAGCAAGGCGAGCGCAGACTTTGGCAACTGCGACCCTACGATTGTCTTTGGCCTCCCATCTGATGGTCGCAAGGAGGATGCTTTCGAGCCTTCGGATCTGACAACCTTTAACCATGGCTCGGCCCAGAAGATTGCAATCATCTCCAACTTCATCTGCTCCCAGCTTGCCAACAAGTGCGGTGCAAGCGCCTCAGCTGTCAGTACCTGCGATGCTGCAGCATCTGCCGCTAATGGGCTTGAGGGCCAGGCGGCTGCGACTGCCTTCAACACTGCTCTTGGATTGTAAATGAAGTGAGGCCATTTGAGCAGATGTGGTGTGTAATTGAGCAATAAAGGCAAGATGGATCAACTGGATATGGAACCCTTTTTATGATAATAGACTTAGTCACGCGTAATATGACGCGAACACATCTTCAGCAGGGCATCGTTGTTCAATGTTTTGGTACCATGTGAAGTGACTTGGCATATGCGTGACATGGCAGAATCTTGTCCAAATCGAGAGGCCGACATGCAATGAATCGATTCTTGTGATGAAATGAAGCCGTAAGCTTATAAATATGGTGGAGTGCATGTCGTCCCCGCACGTTGACTATTGAAGACTTTGTGGGTTTGGAACAACACACGTGGAGCTTCCATAATGGGCGGCGATTCGGGCCTCGTATTGTGTTGAGCCCACTTTTTGACCCTCTGCAAACTTAGGATAGTAATTGCAAGAGAAACGGCAAACAATGACGCATTGAGGGAAGACGACCTGGGTCACAATATGTACGCATTAGGCGAGACACGTGCGCCTCTGGTTATTGGTGTGTGATAAGATGCCGCGAGCCAGACCGCTTTCGCAGCCAAGCGCGGGATGCAAGGAAAAAAACGTTTGGGAACTCCAGTCTGACTTGCAGACGGGCCAGAATAGGGGTCTCGCTTGTCAACGTCGACCTTGACGAAGGCCGCAGTTGATCGAGAATGGGCAACGAGGCCAGGCACGATATCGATAGATGTTGTGTTGAAGCGAGAAGCGCGTGCCACCGATCACCAGCCCACAGACGGAGACAAAAAGACAAAAAGGACCAGCTTAGACGAGTCATGCAGCATTTGCAGAGTTGATGTGTGTGCCGTCCGTGATGCCCCACAGTGGAGCACGGCCTCCAGACTGACAGCGAATTGGGGTACTCCAGCTTGCGAATGCATCTGTGCGGTGCAGCGCTGGCATCTTCTGGCGGCGTGCTGTTGGCTGTGGCCCACGGCGCGGCGGCTGCAGTGGGTGCGGAGAGTCCAGATGCGAGGGGTAAATCAGCAGGGTGGAGTCGGCGAGGCTGGCCGCGCAATATCGATAGCAATGGCAGCAGGAGAGTGGACGGGGTGGAAAAGTCGTGACAGGCATTGGTGCTTTGCAGAAAAACACAGGTTGAGTATCCGTATGTATGCAGGGGCCGTCGAAAAAGAGGGCCACCGCTGCGGTAAGCGGGCACGGGCCATCTGGTGCCATATCGGGCGTAGCGTTCGCATAGAGCGCGTTGGAGCGCGTCAGTTTCGCTATGTGGTCGTCTGCAGCGCTGGCAGCACCAGCAGCGGCAGCTCGACGTGGCCGAACACATGTGCATAACACGGTGTTGTGCGCGAGGATGCAAACCAGCCGCCTCGGACACGTTCAAGACCGTTGCAACAACAAGCCGGTAGTCGTCGTGTGTTTGGTTTTTCGATGGGCGCGTCCCGAGGGCTGCTATCGACGATCTTGGCCATAGCCCGTGCTCCTGTCCTGGCACTAGCGGCCAACAGCCGTCCACGGGTCACCCGACTTGAATTTGCGACCCCCAACCATCACCTTCACACTTCACGACCTCACGATAATTCCGAGCCGATCTCGCCAGCCGCACGCTCGTCGGCCCCGAGACCAGGCGCCTGCTTGACGACTGTTTCCTTGCCTCTTATTCTACTCCCGTCTTTCGTTTTGCGCGCCCCCATGGACGCCCAGTAAAGCGCCCACTTCGCTTCCGCCCACGGAACCGCTCTCCTCACCGCGACTCACGACTCTTGCCCCCATCGCCAGCATCCTCCACCTCCACCGCCACCCCTCGCCACACTCGACGCGTCTTCCACCTCCTGTTGAGACTTTTGCGCTTTGTCTTTTGCTTTTGTTCCTCGCGCTATCGACATCGCGCCCCAGCACCCCTCGCAACGGCCAGCTACGCGCCTTTGCACACGCAGCTTGTCGCCCATCTTCTTGTCCGCAAGCCCCTCCGCCATTGCAACAACGCCAGTGATCCGCGCGTCCGAAATCGCGTGTCGTTGCGATAGTTGCACCCTCTAGTATTAAAGTCGCAGCTGTCCTGCTCGCACGTGTAACCACCCTGCAGCCGCACAGTCGCGTTTGCAGAGTTCCAAACACCTGTTCGAGCCCAGCCAAACAACCAGCGAACCCTTCTCAGCACTGTACGAACCACCTTGCCATTGTATGCATTGACCGCTCGTCGCGCGTGCACTGTCCAGACCTGACGACGTCGCTGAGACTGACCACTTGGACCCTCCCATCCAGGTTAAACCCGACAGCGTTTCGAAACAGTGGCTCGTCTCCTATTTCTGTGATACATCAGCAACCATGGAGTCTGAACGCTCCGTTTCCACCACCCTACCAAGGAACTTCATGTTCCACTACCGTGACGGCCCTGCTCCACAAACACCAGAGCCAGAGCCGCAACCAGAGCAACTGCAGCCACCGCCGCCTCCCCGCCAAGTCCTCAAGGTCCGCCGCCGTCGTGCCACCATGGTCATGAACCCCGACGACATGGACGCAGTCATGCATCAACAACCCATCCCCACCATTGAAGCGCCGGAAATCATGTCAGAAGCCCCGAGTGAGCTGCCATCCTACTCTCTGTCTCAGGACGACGCCTTCCTGTCTCCAGGCTTTAGCTATACTCGTATGATCTCTCCGCCAAAGACTCCTGCTCACCAAGTGAGAACTATCAGCCACTACGAAGGACCTCAAGACTGGTCAGACGTTCCACACGTCAGTCAGAGCGAGACCTCTAGCAGACCCACCTCATCATCCGGCTTCTCCGATTCGTCTCTTTCGTCTTGCGACAGCATCGGATCCTTCATGTCAAGAAGCGGCAGCTGCACAAGCCCAGAAGATGAATCGTCTGATCCATTCTCCTTCTGTCCGCCACCGCAACTTCAACGCCCGGTGTCGCCATTGATGAACCAACAACCAACACGCTCTGCCAAGAAGCTGAAGCTAAGGGCCAACTTCACAGAGGAAATGGACTACCACCTGTGGATGACTTACATGAATTACCTGCAGGACCCTACAGTGACACCCTTCAAGGCTCTCCCAAGCACTACACCACCGAATGGTGTGTGTCACCGCGTGGCGAGGATGGCTCGAAAGACTTGGAAGGGCCCAAGGCAGGCCCGCGTTGGTGGACTCCGTGTACAGACTCAAAAGAGTGGCAAGCCCTTCGTGCGGTACCCTACCGAGAAGCAATGTCGAAAGCGTCTGCGAGATTTGGCCAAACAGAAACCCACCTTGTCTGCACACTACCAGCGTCTCCTCCATCGATCACCCTCACCGCTTCAATCCTCTCCACCTCCAGAGGAACCACCGTCGCAACCATCGCAATCATCGTCCTCTTCGGTGCCGCAACAGCCTTTGTCTTCACCTTTCTCTCAGGGATCGACGACCTTCTCGACCCGTGACATGAATCTCTCACTAGCGACCAGTACTGCTGCGTCGATGCAGTTGGGCAACCCGCTGTCACAACTCACCAAGGATATTACACCACGACCGACAGCGAGGACATGGTCAAGTGCCCGATCTTCTGCTCATCAGAAGTCGCAGTCGCTCCACATCGGGCTCGGCCTTGGGCTAGGCACTGCACTAGGCTCTCCCTTCCACGCAAAGCTCGAGGCCAACAAGCTCAGCATGAGCCAGAATACCGCACGCACTTGGCATGCATCGTCGACGTCTCAGCCACCACGTCTAGGCTCTCCTTTCCAGCTACACGCACCGCGACCAAAGTCCAAGGTGTTCAAGCGTCGTGCCCTTCACAACAGCTTTGAGGGGAGGGTGCGTAACCGAGGAGAGAGCTTCGTCAACGAGATTTTTGGAGCTCCGGCAGAATCGAGCCACCGTGGTGTCAGGAATCGTGGCTTCAGCCTGGGCGACATGACGGAAGGAGCACGACGTCTTCCTCTGGCCAACGACCCTTCGGGCTTCAACCCATTTGCAGACTCTCGTTCTGCCCTGCCGAGCCCACACTCACCCGCGGTAGCAAATGATGTACTCGGGCAGTCTACTGCTCGCCTAGGCTCACCATTTGTTAGCCGGTCAAACAACATGTTCCCTCGACCGACCATGTCGCACAGCTTTGAGGCTCCCGCATCGTTTGAGCAACGGTTTGCTGGTATGCCTAGCAATGCTACCCGCCTATAGCGGTCGTAGGGTTCGACGACGATTTCTTCCAGTTTGTTAGTGCGGCCCAGCACAACGACTGCATCATTGGCGTTACAACGGTCAGCCTCTTGTGCTATGGCAGCATATACTTGCCAATTTGCTCAGGACGGTGAGCCTGCTTATTTTGAAAAGCATTTCCTATGTTTTGTTTATACCAAACCGTACACTCTCGGTCGCCGACATTGTACTGATGGCGATGACGCCCCTGGTTGCGTTTACCGGGCTTACGACTTTGACATGATGATGCGGCTGAAAGTGTTTCCAATTCACTTCCGTAATACGAGGGCAGGGTGCTGGGAAGTCATGGTGGCATGCAACATGGTGTTCCATGAAGACCAGAAAGACCCTGACCCGATTTGGGCAATGAGGCAGGCTGTTGGCCTGCCTCTGTCCTAAACCATCTCTTTTGTATACTTGGTCATCTTGTCTTGATTCAAGTCTCCACTCCTTCTTGGCCCACTAGACGATGTGGTGCTTTATTTCCTTGTGTTTGTGTTTTTTGTTCTCTACCTTGTCACGACGGTCATGATGAAGGTTATGATGAATCGACGGGATATGGGCGTGAAGGGGTATTCAGTCTTCACGAATCTCAACGATTGTCTCGAAGCGTGAAGGACTCATACCTAATGTCTCTTTCTTTGAGCAAACTCTGCTTCGATGCGGAGGAAGGGATCGGCTGGACGGGTTGTGCGGGCTTGGACGAAGATGAGGATGGGGACGAGGAAAAGCCTGTGCACTCTGATAGATTAGCTGGTCCCGAATGATGACGAGTCTGAGGCAGACGAGCTTGTAATAATGATTGAATGAATGAATGGAATGGATTTGACTCAATTGAGCTGGCCTGGCGTGGAAAAGAGTGAGAAGAGGTGATGGTGCGTTCCACATGAGCCCCTCTTGGTGCAGTGAGCTCCGCAACGCCGTGCCGTAAAGTAGTTCCGTAAACGTGGGTGCTGAGCACAGGCGTCATCATCGTGTCTGTGCCGAAAACAGCCCCCATGACCCATGAATGACCAGGCACACACACTCATACGCACACATGGACGAGTACAGGCACACACACACACACGGGCGCACACAGACTTGGAACCTAATGAGCCAAGCGCCGGGGAAGCATGTGCTGATACTCCCTAGGAGTGACCTTGCCAATACGGGGTTGATGTTTACAGCACAAGGGCAACAATGGCTCTTGAAAACAAACAAAGACAAGAAAAAACTTGTGCGTGCCTACACACCCTCCTATCTGCACCTGGCCCTGCAGTCAGCCGGACGGACATGCTATACGTACATAAGAATATACGATTTGCAGCCAGGGGCGGACGTCATTCGGAAAGAAATTTGGCAGGCGGGGAGGCAAGCGGGAGGAGAAAAGAAAAAAGAGATAAAAGCATGCAGCAAAGAGTGGATGCACCAGGCCACAACGAGCAAACCGCAAAAGCTGAAGCTCTGGCGAGCAACCGCACGGATCAGTCCGTCTAGGCATTCCGCCGAGGCCTAACGTTGTTTGCTCGGGGTGGTGGCCGTAGCTGACCGGCGGCCGCCAGTTAGAGCGCTCGAGAGGGCAGAGAGAAAGAGAGCGAGAGGAGAGAAAAGAAGATCGACCCTCTTTTTTTTGGGGGGTGCAATATATCTTTTTGGCACAGGGCCAAAAAAAAAGATATAACTATTCATTATCAATATCAATGGAAATGAAATAGGTAGTGAGCAGAGGATGGATTCATTGCATGACTGGCAGTGGCCAAGGATGGCTTGTAACCACCAGCCGCCCCCTCGTCTTAGCCGTGCCGTGTGCGTGTGTGGTGTGTGTGGAGAGGACATGGTGTGAGTAATAAGAGTCAGGCTGTGTGGTTCTTTGTCTCGTCTGGTGGTGCGTCAAAATTCACGTCAAGACGCGTCGGGACGCGTCGCGATGTGCAATTGTGCGGCCCAAAGCGGAATGGCGCTGGGCTGGTGGCAACGAGGGGAAGCCGCCTAGTGTGCTCTGCAGCAACCTTGGTTACTCTTTGTCTCTTTGCATTGCACTAGTCGGGGGCCACCACAACATCAAGACGGGATTTCCGGCTGCGGGCACGACTGAGGGCTGCTGAAGGACCTCGTATCGGCTCATGGCTGCAGCTCGTGGTGACACCATATCACTCTTCGTTTCCATGGCGATATGCCGACTCGCGTCCTTCACCTTGCAATGGTGCGGCTGGGCTTATGCCATCAACCACCATCGGACTAATTGGCCCTTTCCTTCTGTCGATTGATTAGCAAGCCACCCTCCCCTCTCCACCACTTCCCACTGGTTTCACGCCCCCGGCTTACTGTGCCCATCCGTGGCCTCGCGACACCATCTCGCATGCTTCTGACGCCACTTGAACGCTGCATCCATGGAAAGTTTCAACTTGAGGCATGTTGGGCCCCACCCCCCTCTTCCCGGTGCCGGTGCCTGGAGATTCGAATGCGGAAGGTTGGACGGAAGCCTATCTGTCGGTCTGTGCCAATATAACTATGGCAACTGTGGCACACCCTAAACCCTTTGATCCAGAGTTGGGAGTATTGAAGGCTTGACTAGACTTTGCAACATGCTTTGTATCTTGCTTCCTGGTCAAGGATGGCTGTGCCTGCATCTTGTTTCGTTCGTCACCACGGCCTACATACTTTCTTGTCCAAGGGTGGTCCTTACACTATTGCATCTGCTTTCTTAACAGTCGATCATCCAACCTCGTTAAGCTCCCCCCTAACACCTCGGGTTACAGTTCGATATACTCCATCTTTTGCTTTTCGCCTTATCACTTGCCCCCTGGCTCTTCTAGTTGCGGTCAATAAAGTATCACTTCAAACCGCGGAGTTCGGAAAGCTTTACCCCTCGGCTCTCAATAGACAGAAAACGGTACGCGATTTGCGTTCGCAGTAGCAATGATCAACGCACTCTGATATCGGGCCTTCACGGACGATCGTTAATAATCCTCCCCTGAACCCGACACAATGGAATCATAGTCCTACCATCCTTGTTACCGTTCAGCAAAGCAACAAGTATAATCTCTGACTGCCCATTGTGGAAATTCGCCATTCTTTTGAGAAAAACTCACTCGAGTCGATCCGAGTATGCCGCTACACCGAACCAATGCAAGGCTTGTCCACAAGAGTCCCGTTAGAACAGTACCTGGTCAACCCAACTCGCTTAAATAGATTCGTCATCAAACACGCACGAGGACATCAGAAGCCGTATGAAGTGGTTGAACAATAATCTGACGACCACGGGATCAAAGGAACCATCTCCATCCGCTGCCGCACGTTGACCAGCATCGGCTATGCAGCTATACCTCATAGTATCCACAATGAATACGAATACAAGCTAAGTCGTTTTTCTCATTACTCTATATCATCGATCCGATGTAGTACCACTAAAGTAACCCTCCATGAGAAAAATCAATCTCGGCGGTATAAAAACAAACTCTCCAACGCCTAGCTATGAACACAGTTAATTATGGGGTATGATAACCAATCGTACAACATATGATACCCCGTACGCTCATTCCTCAGTCTTCACTGGATCAGCCCCCGTCCTTCCGTTTGAACCTCTAGGGGGGAAGGTCAAGATCACCTCTTCCCACCTTTTATGAGGAAATATCACTACCGTTCCTCAATTGCATCTTGCTCATATCACCATTCTGCGGCATCTGAGCCAGCCAGGTGGGCGGTGCCATACCAGTCTGGTCGTGGATGGTGCTAAGCAGAGGAGGCAGACTCTGGAAGAGATTGCGGATCGGAGCCGCAGGATCAGCCATGCCCTCGCCCCCTTGGTTTCCAGTGTTCCAGACATTGATCTTGGGCTGCAGGCCCCTGATGGCTTGGCCGTTGGCTACAGCCAACTTCTCGTAGGTGCCGTTGGTGATCATGAGGTACTGCATTAGGCCTTGAGGTCCACCCAGGACATTGGCCATGTCGCCGTAAGCCTTTGCCATTGCGGATAGACCTTCGGCTTGGCGTTGCTGCGTGATGAGCTCAGCCTGAGCCTGGCGCTCCTGGGCATAGTACTCAGCCTCGGCGGCTCGTTTGGAGACGATGAAATTGGCTTCTGCCTCGCGCTCCTTGGCTTGGAAGTTCGACTCTGCATCACGTAGGCGGCGGAAGGCGACCGCCTCGGCCTCGGCCTGCTCGCTGTACTTTTTGCCCTCTGCCGCCTTTTCTTGAGCATAGAGTTCTCCATCAGCCTTTTGTTGCGAAGACTCCTTCTCAATCTTCGCCTGCACGACCTTGGTAGCTCGGAGACGCTCAAGCTCCATGAGTGCCCTCTTCTTCTCAACTTCCATTTGAAGCTCTGCATCGCGACGTTCAGCTTCGCGTTTAGCGTTGATCCTGGCTACGTTGAGGTCCCTGCTAATCTCAATCTCCTTATCGGTAAACTTTGCATCTGCCGTGGCCTTTTCGGCCTTGCGCTCGGTTTCTAGGACAGCAGTTTGGGCGTGGATCTTGGCCACTTCCTGCTTGGTCTTGCCCTGCTTTTCAGCCTCGCCAACCTCACCCTGCATGCGGGCGTGGGCAACGTCGACCTTTGCTTGGTTCAAAGCACCCTCGTGTGCCTTACGTGAGAGAAAAGCAAAGTACTCTGACCCTGGCGTGTCTTGCAGTTCCTTGACGTTGGCATTGTAGATGCAGAGACCGAACTGGTCAAGCTCAGATTGTACCTTGAAACACTCGTAAGCATGTGATTGATTTGAATAGTTAAGAGGTGAGCAGTACCTGTTGAATGACCTTTTCCTTGAAGATCCTGCGCTCGCGGAACAACTCCTCCATGGTCATTGTGGAAACAATTGATCTTGTCTCGCCCTCAATGATTCCCTTGACAATATCCTGGACATGGCTGCGCCCCTCAGCTACCGCAACCACTCCCTTTGATGCAGTTTGTGTCGGTCTGCCATCACTTTCGCCTGTAAGCAAAACAGCATACTTTTCCAAAGCTTCTGGGTTATCTGCAGGACCGATTGTGAAGACTGCTGGCAGGGAGAATTTCAGCTTCTCAATCGTCATAGCCTGAAGTGACATGGAAAAGTCGAACGGTGTGATTGAGATTTTGGAGACTTTTTGCAGAGGGTAGACGAAGGCCTTTTTCTTGATGAGAACCTTTTGGATTCCTACTCCCGTGATTACGAGGTAGGAATTTGGCTCTGCGACATGGTACCACATGATGGCTGATGTTTTGACTGGACGGGGTTGAGATTGATCGAGGCGATGTATGCTGGCGATTGATGCTCGATCGATGGAGTCGGTCGTATATCAGTCGAGCAGAATTGGGGTATATGATGACAGGATGCGTGTATGTTAGGCTAGGAAAGAGACACCAGACAAAAGGGTCGAACGGGTATATATATACCAACCAAGCGTGTTCGACTATTCCACACAGAATAAACGATGTCGTACCGTATTACCAAATCTTGAAGCGAAGATGATGGTGGATTTGCTATTAATGAACCATCCCAGAACAGCAGAACTGTATACCTTTATACAGCTTCAGCCTGGCCATGATGCGCTCTCACAAGTACTGCTACCGCAAAACACGGCACGCCCAAATGTCGAGCCCGGTGAATGTATGAACAAAAGTGGTTAGAAGATCGCACAGACCATGTATGAGCCCAGGGACGGCAGCCAACCTGGGGTAGTCAGACCCACAATAATTCTGCCTTATGCGTTCACAGCCACAACATGTGACCTTACTCCGGAGGCCTAACTGGGTGTACGGATCTTTCCTTCAAAAGGATTATTCTTGCCCTCCCGGTGACCTAAAGCGTTCAAGTCTGCACTGCAAATCTCATGATTTTTCGGTCGTTTGCTCGGTCGTTTGACGCATTGGAATGCGATAGGCACATCGCTGTGTCTGTCTCAGACATGGACATATAACCTTTTTGCTGTGTGAAAAGCACTGATAGTGGCGTATCTGCCTGAATCTTTCCTTCTTCTTGGGCAGACATGGAGTTTGGTTGGCCAAGATGGACCGGCCCGGGTGGCCTCGGGTGTCCTTGATTGAAAGATGTCTGATTCGCTTACCCGTGTGTGTTTAAGGCATCCTGTGACTACCACAAAGTACGGCATTACGAGACAATGACTGTGGCGATACTTGGCGCTAGTTGAAAGACCTCAGTTGTGAGGCGGAGACAGGGCAGATTATCGTGTCTGCTTTGGGTCGGTGGCTTGTCGTGATCGGTAGAAGACTGGTAACCGTTCTTCCGGGGTTTGCCATCGAACTACCATACTACAACAGAGTAGCCTTGGAGACTTTTTGTATGTGAGCACAAGGCTGCTGTTACACCGTTACCAATTACACGACGTTTTTCGCCAGGCTACGAACCTCGACACCTCACACCCAGGAGCCCACCTATCACTCTTGGAAAGATGTCAGAGAAACACGAAAATGCCGCTCCACCACCATACTCACCCCACGCATCCTCTCCATCACCCTCAATCCTCGACCAACTAAACACCACACGCACCCAACAAATTGAGTCCGTAATCGACACTCACATCCTCCCCCTCATCCACCAACGCATCACCTACGCCATGGCAACCACAACCCTCGCCCTCCTCCCTTCAGACACATTCCTTGTGCCCACAAAATCAGACAACTCCTCCAGTTTCTTCCAAGAAGACTCCTCATCTTCCTCATCTCCATCAGTCCAAGTCCTCGGCTTCGCCTCTGACACCTCTCCCCCGCACCTCATCCACCTATCCGGTCCCATAAACAGCACAGAATTCTGGAAACTACCACTCGTCCTGCACGAACTCGAATCGATCCTAACTTCACGGTTAAATCCACATTCCACTTCTCCCAAAGATCCGCCTAGCTACCGAGATACTACTACTACTACTACTTTTTCTCCTAATACTACTGGTGGTGCAGGTGCGCAAACTCCACCACCACCGCGGTTTTCCCGCCGCAATCTCCTAGCGAGGGTAATGCCGTCGTTGGGCCCAGAACAGGCGTCGCCGGGGAATAACCCAGAGGTTGGCGTGAGACACGTTGATAATGCTACTTCGGGAACGAACATGGTTATGGTGAAAGCGAGGCTCGAGGATATTTGTCTAAGGACAGTGAGCGACTTTGGGTTATACGATACGATATCCAAACAATGTGTTATTATCAAAGTAGATGCGAAATGTTGACTTTTCCTGTTGGAACAAGAATCAAGTATCCAAAAAATCAAGTCTGTAGATGTGATGTGCTGCTTCTCAGTTTGAATGTGTGGAATAAAGTCTGGGCATGAGGAGCAAGAACAAAAAGTGAACTGCAATGTCTAGGCAGAGAATTGTGTGAGCAAAAAAGACCGGTATGTGGTAATGAGGGCAAAAAAAAAGCGAAACTCCCCCGGAAAGGCTCGAACTTTCAACCTCCTGATAAGCTACTGCTGTAACAGTCAGACGCGCTAGCCAATTGCGCCACGGAGGATGTTTGCGAAAGCGCTGAATGCGCTTCGGTTTTGAGTTTCGATGGAAAGAGCAAGTTTTGTATAATTCATATTGCCATTTCTCCGCCATCTTCACTCAATGGTTGAGGCAAAAGCAATGTTGTTTTCACTGGTCGGCTAATGTGTGGGACGACCCAGGATCTATACGCTCGTTTAGCGAGTAACATTGAGCATGCCCGGCTCTTTCCAGAACCCCAACTATCGCCTATACTGCTCGAATACTGTATTGTCGCTATGCTTGTTCCGCATCATCCCTCAGAACCACAATACCATACGGATCCCTATCTGCCTCGCTGACCTCAACAATGACTTCTTCGTCCGCCAGCGCCTCCTCAAACTCGCCATTTTCCTTGTACTCTTCCCTAACCTTTTTCCACTCCTCCTCCACAGCATCTTCCAGCTGCGTACTCATAACCTCGGCGAGGAACCCGCGCTCAGAATTGCTATGGAACAAGCTGATAACTACTCTTCCTTGTTCGATTGCCGCGAGCGCTGCGTGATGGTCTAGCTCGCCTGTGAAGAGCAAATCGACGTCTAGGCCGCTGAGGAGGCCGGAGCCAGAGCCTGCGCAGATGCCTACGCTTTTGATTTGCATGTCAGAGATTGTTTTGCCTTGGGGGATTGCGATTGGGAAGCCCTTGGGGTTGTTGAGCCCTTTGCCTATGCGATCGAGGAGGGTGGGAAGGGGCTGGGCATGGTCGAATCTCACGATGCGGCCCATGCCGGCGCTGGGATGTGAAGCGAGTTCCGGCGTCTGAGGTTTGATGACTTCTCTTTTGTGTGGAGCAGTAACCGGGGCTGTTGAAGTGAGCAGCTTGCCAAGTTGTAGGGTGCGCTGGCTCGGGTGGTGGTTCAGGGTAAAAGTTGGCCGTTTCTTCTCAATGAAGGGATCGTTGTTGTTTTCCTCTGTAGGATTTGAGGGCTCTGGTTGAGCACCCGCGTCTGGAGACTGACCCACATTCTTTGTGCCTGTAACAATATCTGCTAGCCAATCTCCCAATCCTCCTGGTGCCGCATCTAACGCTGTATGTGGACAGTATACACTAATACCATAACTGGCTAGCCGCAGTAGTGATTGCTGTTGTGTATCCGCAAGAGTCAATGACTTCAGGCCTCGAAATATGATAGGATGGTATGCGATGATGATCGAAGAGTTGAGTGCAATGGCCTCGTCGGCAACGGCTTTGGTGAGGTCAATGGTGAGGAGGACGGTGTTTGACTGGCGGCGAGACGCATTGAACGGTGCTTCGAGTAGCAATCCGGTATTGTCCCAAGAATTGTCTGCAAGCTCTCGCGGATACCTTTATTTACAATCAGTACTTTTCCAGAGAAAGTTTGTATATGTTTGGTTGTCTGGCTGTGAGATTCAAAGGAACAATATTCAGCCTGTGGAAAGTAAACCTACAGCCTCCGCATTGCTCTTACAACCGCCTGGGAGAACGGCGCACAAGTAGTAGTCGCATTCATTGCGAATCGCCGTGCCGTGGACACAAACATACAGCTCTTAATGGAAAAATTGCAAGCCCAAAGCAGCAATACTTTGCAATCACAAAGGCACGTGCCAATCACCCCTGCACCCGTAGCTGACATGCGTCATCAGCCCCTCCCCGCTTCCGGTCTGCGCCTTTTCCTGATCCGGAGACCCAATCTTATCAGATCCGAAGATAGGAACACTGGAGGAATATCACATCATTACCACATGGATCCACGACACAAACTTTACAAAACACTCGACACTCTTGCGATCGATTCAGAAAATACCAAAGCAATGAGTGCAAGAACGGATGTGGAGGCCACGAACGTGCAGGCTACCTCCGGCGTGACCATGGAAGGAATCAAGAAGAAACTGGAAGACGGACTCGGTGCAACACATGTTGAGATTGAAGATTTGAGTGGTATGCATAAATTTCATTTTTCTACTAAGATAAGAAAGCGAAGAAAACAAAGCAAAACGCGACGGGCGGGGTCTGGCGTGGGATATTTTCTTTTCGGACGCTCTCTGAGTCACAGGACTACGCTGATATTACAAACAGGCGGATGCGGGCAAATGTACGAGGCCATCATCGTATCACCACAATTTGCCAAGAAGACCACTCTAGCACGACACCGGCTAGTCAACAGTACACTGAAGGAAGAAATTGCAGCGATACATGCGTGGACACCAAAGTGTCATACACCAGAGGAATGGGAGAAGAAGAAACCGCAGTAAATACGATAAAGCCTAGCCGTAGTTAATACAACCAAACTATGACGCAACTTAATGAGTAAAGCACGTTTCACGATGCAGGATACAGGCCTACACTTCAACGAGGCCACATCTATTCTATACGTATAGCTCTCTAGCTCAGTAGCACCCGTATTTCACCACTGGTACGAGGGAACAAATCCCTCAATCTGGGTTCCTGCTCCTCACCTTCCTCTTCCTCATCGTCCATCAACTCATCCGCAGCTATTATCTTGCCCTCTACCAACTCAAAATCCTCACAGAACTTGCCAGCAGCCTCTTCCGTGATATCTTGTATCATCTTTCTATTGCGTAGCTGCTTGATGTTCTCTGCTGCGTCGATGAGGGCAGATGGTAAGAACTCATCCAGCTGTTGACTGGCAGAGACTAGTGCATCTGGTTTGAATGCTTCCAACTGGGGCACTGTCTTGAGACTTTCGGCAGAGTCGCTGATTGGTGCAAGCGCCTCAAGCAGAGTAACTAGACCAGACTCGTTGACCAGGTATTGATGTTGATAGTCTGTTAGTTTGACTACAGTCTCCTGGATTGTGTCCTCGAGATCGCTGACTCGCTCCTTGGTGAAAGCATATTGCGAGAGAACTTCTTTGGCCGCAAACAAGCAGTTGACGGCGAAGATGGAGTTATCAGGCTCTTTCATGCCTTTCTGTAGGTTCTCGCAACTGCTCAAGAAAGGATCAAGAGCTTCTGATAGTACAGCCTGGAAGCCCTGGCCATCATCATCTGTTGCAGCAAGTGATGTATCATAACTTTTTGCAAGTACTTTGAGTATTTGCAATGCCTCTTCCAGGAATTCAGGAGGAGAGAGATCTGCTGGCGCCACAGCAAGATCACTTTGTACGTTGGCGACGTAGTCTCTCATATTTGCGCGGAACTGCCGCATCGCAGAAGCTTCTAATGTGTCAAAGACATCCAGAACTTCTGAATCGGCCCCAAGCAGCTTTGCAAACGTTCCCTTGTAAAAGCCAATCAGATTGGCAATTTTGTATGCCAGGGTCGCATCGTCATGACTTTGGATGACTTGTTCTGTTCGCTGTCTCAACAAACGAGCTACACCTGCAAGATCACGGCTAACAAGTTGATTGAGAGCCTTTCGCCCGTCAAACACCTCGGCATCTTGGTCACCTCTTAGCCAAGGCTCGCTTTCCAAGCCAGCCTGGATGGAACGTTTGATTTCTTCACCATCCGAAATGAAAAGGTTTTCGAGTGCCTCTCTTTCTGATACTGTCGTAGAGTGAGCCCATGCAAGCATATCTCCCACATAGCGCAGCGGATCGTGAGCGTAAAACTCAATGGGCTTGGTGGCTATGTGGTTTTCTGATGTCGAGCCGGTCAATGCTGCATGGAAGGCGTCTGACAGAATCGACTCGCGAGCTTCAGCAAAAGAGTCTAGACAGCTTTGGAACAGGGTAGGTCGTTCAGCCAGTACACGCAGAGATCGCCGGACCGATGCGCTGATCTGTGGATTCTCCAGATCTAGCGTTTTGAATTCGCGTTGGATCCACCGATAAAGCTTTTGGAAAGCAGAGTTGAGCTGTTTGGAGCTTCTTTCTAGCACCTCTATGCCCAGTCGCTGATCTTCGGTCCCGAGAAGTACTTGGCAGTCATGATGTATCTTTTTTACACGAGTCAATATTTGGAAGAATTCCTCGTTAACAGGCTCCGCGGTAGAAGTCAATACAGTTACATCCTCCTCCGTGATGAGGAAATGAGCAGTGAATGCGTTAAGCACTTGCTGTTTGGATTCGACCTGTTTCTTCTGGCTTACGAGACTGGTAGCTTCTTCCAAGACAGGGTCAGTCTCTTTGTTTGCAGCCGCAATATGGCCACGCATATCAGCACAGTAGTTGTTCAGACTGCTGATTGCTGTTCCGATGCGCTTCAATTGCTGGAATCGTTTAGCAGACTACTTTTAGTGCTTGTGTTCTGACATACCTCGGCAACCTGGCCAAAGTCCTTGATGATCTCGCCATTGCACTGTATGACTTCTTTTTGCACATCAAGGCGAAGTTGACGACGCGTCTCCGCAGAGTTTTGTACTCCACGTGCATCCAGAGTTTCTAAGGCATCTCGAATCTCAAGATCTGCATAGGAAGCGGAGAGCACACTCGTGATGCGGCTGGCTAGCGCATTCGCACCCTTTGAAGCGGGCGTCCCCCATGGCGACGAGGGAGAAGCGCCATTCTGGGACGCTGGAGCAGCGCGGTCGTGGAAATAGCTTGTCGTCATGAATGAATGGGTGTCGTGACCTTTGCCTAGAAAGGTGTCATGTCGGGCAAACCCAGGGCAGGTGCAGCCGAGCTTATCGATAGATAGATCGATAGGTACCAGCGCGGCGCGTCACCTGCATGAGTCCCATGTCGATGAGGCGCTCGACGATAGCCACACTCATCGCCGCCCACTTGTATCCTGCTGATACAACTACTGACCAGACTTGCGTCAGAGCCCATGGATTCAGGCCTCAACTTCTGGGGATCACGCTTTTGGTCCTCTGACCCTACTCGCCCATAAAACGCACCCATCCAGCGCAGCACGGCCACGCGCCCCGCCCGTTGGCTCAGCGCAATACCGCACAACGACCATGATGGCTTCCAACCTGCTGTCCAGACTCCTTCCCTCTGCCTCAGACGATCTTTACGAGAACGAACCGCTAAACACTACACACCACCGTGACTCTGTCTCGACTGAGGAGCAGCACGAGATGGACATAGACGAGGAGAACTTTGGTGCTCGCTTTGAGGAGCAGGACCTGGCGCACTTGCTTGAGGAAGCGTCCTCCAGCCAGATGACGACCGAGAGCCGCGCAGTCTCTCCAGATGCCAAACGTAACGCACCACCAGGCATCAACACAGCAGGTCGCATACCCGCGTGGAGACAGCCTGCGCCAGCCCGCACTGCGCCTATCGACGATGACGACGATGTTCCCCAGTCCCTGCTGCTCGAAGGCGGACATGGGCCAGCACCGGGTTCAAGTAAGCGCGGTGAAGGTCTTCCCATGCCTGTACCAGGCCCGTCAACGCGACAGACACGGGCGCAGTGGGATGCTACCCGCACACAGCAACGACTTCACGACGACGACAGAAGAGGGGCACCTTCACAACCTTGGGGGCATACCAGTAGACCTGGACACTTCGCGGCAGATCCTCGGGAGAAAGCCTTGTGGCTTTGGGTAAATCAGACGGATTTGGATAACTATATGACTGAGGTCTATGAGTACTACGTTGGTTGTGGCATATACTCGATCCTTCTGAGGAAGGTCTTGACGCTTCTGCAAACAGCATTTGTGGTGGGCTTCATGACATTTCTTGGATGGTGTATCGACTACTCCAAATTTCCTGACAGCAACAAGATGAGCCAGGTCTTGGTACCAAAGTGTGCTGCGAGGTTAGCTCTTCTTTCCGATACCACAAAGTTTCAACTGACAGTACGTAGAATACACGGCTTTTGGATACTGGCCCTCTGGCTTTTCGTCATATATTGGCTCTACTCATTCTACAACATGGTCACAGACATACCTCGGCTGCGAGCTATGCACGATTTCTACCACTATTTATTGGACATTCCCGACTGCGACATTCAAACGATACAATGGCAGCAAGTCGTCACACGCATCATGGCGTTACGAGATTTGAACTTGACTACTGCTTCCAATCTGTCACCAGAAACACGCAAGTTACTCGACTCGAAAAGCAGGCAGCGCCTGGATGCTATTGATATCGCAGGCCGCCTCATGCGCCGTGATAACTATCTCATTGCCCTATTCAACAAGGAGATACTTGACGTCACTGTCCCCTTGCCCTTCCTGGGCAACCGCTACATCTTCTCCGAGACTACCAAATGGCATGTCAACCTTGCCATTATGGACTTCGTCTTCAGCGGACCAAATGGCCAATTCAACCCAGACTTTCTCAAGGAACGCAACCGCCGGGAGCTCGTTAAGCGATTGAAGACACGTTTCTTCTGGACCGGCATCATTAGTATTCTTTGCGCCCCTTTTGCTGTGGTTTTTGTGCTGGCCTCATACCTGTTCAAATACTTCACTGAATACCACAAGGACCCAGGCCAGCTCAGCAATCGGGACTTCACGACTTTCGCTCAGTGGAAATTCCGCGAATTCAACGAACTTCCTCATTACTTTGCCCGTCGCCGTAACATGGCCTATCCATATGCGAATCTCTACCTCGCCCAGTTTCCGAAAGACAAAACTGAGCAGCTATCATCATTTGTCGCATTCATTGCAGGTGCTTTCGCATTCGTCCTCGTATTATTTACCCTTCTCGGCTCCGAGTTGTTTCTCAACTTTGAAATCACACCTGGCAAGACAGCTATCTTCTGGATTGGTATCCTTACTACGGTATACCGCGTCGCAAGGGGAAGCAGCCCTCAGGAAGACCAAGTCACAGACCCGGCCTACTACCTCAACCATGTCATCTATCACACACGCTATGAACCCGAATCGTGGCGTGACAGACTACATACTGACGAAGTCCGCGCTGAGTTCACCAAACTATACCAACCCAAAATCCTCATATTTGCCGAGGAGATTTTGAGCATGGTTGTCACTCCATTCCTGCTCATTTTCAGACTACCCAATTGTAGCGAGCGGATTGTCGACTTCTTCCGCGAATTCTCGATCGTCGTCGACGGCTTAGGCGTCACATGTTCCTACTCCATGTTCCCATCCACAAAGACAACCCGTAACGCCAACAACATCCCCGCCAACGGCACCGGCGCCCGCAGAGAAGACCCAGACCTCCGCGAAGATTACTTCATGGCCAAAGACAACAAGATGATGGCTTCCTACTACGGCTTCCTAGACACATACCAGAATTCCGGCCGCGGCTACAACAGCCGTCTACAAGGCCGCAGTAACTTTCATCCCCCACCACAATTCCCAAACACCTTTGGCACAATGTCTCAGACCGCTCAACCAATAGAGATGGGCGCAAAAGCACCAAGCCGAAACCAACCCAGTCGCCAAAACCTCCAGCAAAGAACACCGAGACAGAGACCCATGGCAAGAGACGAGCCCATGACCTCTATGATGCTTGATCCGCACCATCAGCCTTCCTCGGCCTCGATGCTGCGTGGCTCACCTCACCAAGCGGGGACGAACCGGTACCGTACGCCTCTTCAACCAGTGTCGGATGCACCGGGTCCGTCGCACACTCGCATCGAGGAAGAAAGCATGCTTGGTGACTCGTGGCGAACAAGCCGGCTAGCGCAAGACGACGACGATGAAGAAGAGGCGGTTGCACCAGCGAACAATGGTGGGGGAGTCTTGCAGCTGTTGCAGCAGTTTTCTAGAGCCCAGGCTGAAGGTCGGGGCGCGGGTGTTGGCGTTTAATCTTTGTTTCTTGAAGGGAGGTTGGATAACATTCGCGTGGAGCGCCTGGGAATCACTGGGCGTTTGTTCAAGTATCTTTTCCTTATTCCCACTCAATCCACAATTAGCATAGCAGTGTTGTGATTAGAAATAAATGGCACATTATTGGAAACATATTCTCCTGTTTCACCAGTAGCATTAAAGAATCAGGTCCAGATATCTGACATGGGCGATCCTAATCACCATAGCCTTCCATGCAAATGTGCTGGTTGAACTGGGCATGCACTTGACTAGTCTTCATCGTACCATCACGTCCTCCTCATACTGCCATGTGGGAAGCAGACATTGTTGTATCATTTGTCATTGTCGGGCTGTTCCTGGTCGTTCTCTACAGTTACATGCCGCAGAGGCTCTCCCTCCAGCCTTCATCCATAACCGATGAAGAAAACAAATCACGCCGTAACCGAATTCCCATTGGACCCATGATCATCATGCACAGCAACCCATTTCGCTCAACTCAAAATCTAAGCAGATGCTTCGAAAGCGGTAGGGAAGCGGCGGATGTTGTCGGCAAGGTTACCCTTGTTGCGGAGGAACTGAACGTAGGCACCGTCGATCTTGACCTTACCCTCCTGGCGCTGCTGGACGTACTCCTCGCGCTTGAGAGGGGTGAATCCCCAGTTCTTGGAGACGATGATCTTCTGGCGACCAGGGAACTGAAGCTGGTTAGTTTCGAAACATTACTAATATGTAGTTTTTATCCACATACCTTGTACTGGCAACGCCTCAGAGCCTCGAGAGCAATAGCGCGGTTAGAGTCCCTAGTCCTGACGGACATGAGGATCTGACCAATGTTGACACGAGCGACAAGACCGTTGGGCTTGCCGAAAGCACCACGCATACCGGTTTGCAATCTATCGGCACCAGCGCAAGACAACATCTTGTTGATACGGACGACGTGGTAGGGGTGGACACGGACACGGAGATGGAAAGATTCCTTTCCTCCGCTCTTGACCATGTACTTGTTGGCGCAAATACGGGCGGCTTCGAGAGCCTCGGAAGACAGCTGCTCGTACTCGTTGGAGACCAAGTGGATGCAGAGAGGGAAGTCGTCTACGTTGGCCTTCTTGCGACCGAGGTCGAAGATGCGGATCTTGGCATCGGGTACACCACGGTTGAACCTGCTCTTGGGGTACTGCAATCAGTCAGCCTATTGTCCTCCTCTCCTTGTATCTCCAGTCTGACGTACGGGCTTGTTCTTGCAGTAGCGGTAGCAACGGGCGGGACGGCGGGCCATTGTGACGGTTCTTCCTGCTTTGAAATCAATGAGCGGATGTTCGGAGAGCGTCGAAAACGAGAAAGAGTGAGTGTGTGCGCAGACTGATAAAGATGTCAGTAAAACGTCTGCCAGAGAATTTGATTGCGACAGCCGTACCTTACCCTTTATTTGAGTGTTAGTGGGGAGGTGTCGGAGGGCGAAGTCGAGGGAAGTCGTCAGTGGTGATTGCTAATCACAATATTGCGCAGCACACGCCAAGGCCCGATTAAGCGAGCGCATTGATTTCCAAGCAGGTAAGCGCCACTCAACGTGCAATCCTGGGGATCCGTGGCAGCGGATTGCGATCATTATGTTATACGCGCCTCTTCTGAAACAATACCATGTAGACAAGTGACATTGTCTTCTGTTTCACTGCGCATACAAGATACACAAAAATGGACTCGTGAACATCACTTATTGCCTGCTCAAACTCGCGGACGGCTTGCGAGACGTAGTTCTGTCTCAATGACATAGTTAGAGCACGGACAGGCTAGTCATAATGAGTCACATTGCAGAGGGCAGATCAAGAAGATGGCTCATGAATCTTGTCATTCATTGGATATCATCAAGGCCGAGCATACGCCACACCCTAGGTATCATGTCTAACTGATTTTTTCCCCACGTGCTGTACCAATCTAGTTCTCGGTGTTGGTGCTCAGGATGTCAGAGTCACCTATATACTGTCAGTGGATCGCGTCGATGTGCAGAAGCCGAACAAAAACATACCAGCGTCGAGGATGGACATGACGGAGCAACGGAAGAGCTTTCCGCAAGCAGTTCCAAGCTCAATCTTCAATCAAGTTAGCTGACAGCTCTCCATGGCCATGATCGGACCAATTCTCAGAGCCAGCCCTCGGAGACAAACCAGTACAACGAACCCTATTACTGTCCAATTCTGTCCCTATAGTGTAGGCCGAGAATATCTGAACTCATGTATAACATGTTCCGTTGTACGGCCATCTCGTCGTTAGGCAATGAGAGAGGGTGGAATGTATACGTACGTTGTTTCCGGAGAAGTGGTGGACAGAGGTCTTGGAAAGCATAGCGTAGTCTGAAGTGATGTTAGCCATGTTTTTTTTTGAATTGCGAAAACCATGTTACCTACACTCGAGCTCAGACTTTCTCAGAGGAGGAGTGTTGCCGGCAATGATGACGAGCTTGGCCTTGCCAGTGCGGAGGCTCTTGAGGGTGGACTTGTAGCCGAGGGTGACCTTACCGGACTTCATCACAAGCGCAAGGCGCGAGTTGATGGAGTCGGCGGTTCTCTTGTTCTTCTTGGGGGCCATCGTTGCACGTAGGAAGTTGTCTGGGAAATTCCTAAGGGTGTTGTTGTGCTCCGGTCGTGAGTTGTGGAAGTTCGCCAGGTAGTGCGCTCACAAAATTCTGTGGGCGAAACGACGCCAAGATTTGCACTAAGCTCCATAAAATCATGACTAAGCTACCACATCCGCGAGCATCGTTTTTAGAACTAATCGTTTAAGTCTTAAGTTCGGTAGGTAATTGTACTTTGATGCTTATAAAGCCTGTTGCATTTGAATTAGGTAAGTAGGATAGTAGTGAAATGTACATGATGCGCTTGCAGAACTTGTAACATTGTTTAGTATTGGTTGAGCACAGCTTATCTATTGAAGACCTGATGTTTGGACATTGAGCACCCAGCTAATACAAGAAGTCAAAATGTTTTACTCACACAGCGCTACATCATATGGTATCATTGCACTCTAGTCCAACGTTACACAACAGTAGCCATGAACTCATCACCACGTGATATCCGTCAGATTTTATCCAAATACATCAGCAGTCTTGTCTACGCTGCCGCTCTTTGCGTCTGTCTTCCTCCCCGAGTTGGGGCTGAGACAGCACCAGGTCGATTGAGAGTGTATTTGGCAAAGGCTCTTGCCAAGGCCTTCTTCGCGCTGACCTTCTGCGAGCCAACAAAAGAGTCGACCGCGACAGCAATAGCGCGATCAATATCTACTGATGAACAGTAGTCGGATAAACGCATCTTGCAGAAGGATTCTGCGATACGCAATATAGCCTCAAGATGACGGACCTGATAACATTAGCGGATGGCAAGATCATTTAAAAGCATTCAACTTACAGTGATTGGGTAGGCTCCCGTTGCCATGGACTCTCGACGCATGTCTGCAAAGAGACGCGCAATCTTATCTTGCTCAATTTGGTAGAGCTTGGGTCTGCACCTCTCCCGAGCATAGAGAATGTACTTCCTCAAAAGCTCCTGTGGAATCTCGCCCTCCTTCACTGGAGCATCTCCGTCGACTTCCATCTGGTCATCACCATTTTGTGACGCCTTGGCCTTGTCAGAGTAACCATATGCTGAGTTGACAAGAGGGTGTGCTCGACCATGGGAGTTCACCACGAACTTGGCAAGGCGCTCGTCTTCCGCTGGATCGACGGTGTCACGAACAACGCACAGAATGTCAAATCGAGACAGGATAGGCTCTGTAAGCTCCACATTCTGCGAGAAGGGGATTGTGGAGTTGTAGCGTCCACCAATGGGATTGGCAGCAGCTACAATTGAACAACGTGCTTGAAGTGTCGTGACGATACCAGCCTTCGAGATAGAAATAGTCTGCTGCTCCATGGCTTCGTGGATAGAGGTACGATCTTGGTCGTTCATCTTGTCAAACTCGTCAATCAGACAAGTACCCTTGTCTGCAAGCACTAGAGCGCCTCCCTCCAAAGTCCATTCACTTGTCATAGGATCACGACGCACCGAAGCTGTGAGACCAACCGCAGAGGCACCCTGACCGGTGGCGAAGACTGCACGATGGGCGGTCTTCTCAACATACTTCAAGATCTGGGATTTGGCGGTACCGGGATCTCCAAGAAGAAGCACGTTGATATCACCACGAATTGAGTGTCGACCTGGCGCCTCCTTGCTGACACCTCCAAAGAGTGAAAGTGCCACAGCGGTTTTGATGTCAGTATGCCCGTAGATACTTGGCGCAATAGAGCCGATGATCTTGTCGACGATACGCGGGTCTTTGGATAGTCTTCGAATCTCCTTCTCGTCATCTTCGGTTAAGCGGAAGCCTGCCAACTGGTCGTGAGACTTGACAATGTAGTTTGCTTCAAGAATGGTAGCGAAGACAGGGAACCCGTTCTTGTTGTTCAAAGCGGCATCGTAGTTATTGCGGTAGATACCTGTGACCTCTATCTCTTCACCAGGCTTTGCAGAGTCAATCAAATCCCAAAGCAAGATAACCTCGCGGTGTCGCGGCAAACGACCAGCTGGAACAGTTCCAGGGGACTCTTGTAAAGTGAGCTTCTGGTAGTTGCGATAGACGGTACGCTCAGAGTTGACTGTGAAAGGACCACGCGATTGGCAGTTCTGACAGAAGGATATCTTGACCTCGACATTGGAGTCCTGGTGGAAGGGTCCAAGTGTGACACCGCACTTGGTGCAGTCAAACTTGACATATTTCAACTGCGGGAAAACTCCGCTTCGACGAGTAACTACTCCGCTGACACGGACAAGGCTGTTGAGATGTGACTGACGAAGCTGGCGGAGAGTGTACTGTACAGGTACGTCGGTAATACGGACATGAATCTCAGAGTGGATGCGCTCGTAGTCTGGGTAGTGAAGGAGAGTCACTTCCATGGCAACCTGATCGAATATCTTGAGCATTTCAGTTGGCGTGTTCGCAAGCCAGTAGGCTAGCGTGGCCTTCTGCTCTGCCAGATGGTCGAAAGAGACTTCGAGGGACTCAGCGTTGACCTCGCCCAATGTTCGAATGCGGGATCCGTAAACTGAGTGGCCATGCTCATCCGTGTACTCGGTCAAGAAAGACTTGAACTCTCGCGCAATCGTCCTGGCAACCTGTGGTTGGGCAACCCAATCGGTCAACGTATTAGCTTTGACATCGGTGAGCGCTTCAAGCGTCAATTCCTCATTCATGATGTCGTCGGCCATGTCCATATCGTCTTCTTCATCGTAACGGTGTCTCCGAACACGGCGGCGTCCCATTAGACCTGCTAGGCCATCTTGCTCATCGTCGTCTGGCAAAAAGGCAGCAGGCATACGGCGTCTTGCCTCCCTGTCACGAGCGTTCAGGCTTGCATCGAGTTTCCGCCTTTCCGCAAGACTGAGCTCTTCGTATTCGCCTTCATCGTCTATTCCCTGGCCCTCATAGGCATCGTTTTCACGGGCTGCATAATCATTCTCGAAGTCGTCGGCAAAAAGATCGATTCCTTCGGCCTCTTCTGCATCCTCTTCTAGGTCGTCAACATCGCGGATGATGTCGTCTTCGTCAAGCATATCCGCATCATCTTCATTAGGCAACATGGGAGGGGATGAGGCCATGGCTGTGAGCTGTTAGGCGTTTGTTGTGTCCTTTGTTTGCACCGAACTTACGACTGGACGGCGGATGCACAGCTGAGGATGGAAGGTCTTCATCGTCCCTCGCGCGTTTGTTACTTCTTCCGGCAGGCCCAGCGCCTCGATTTGCGGACGACATGTTGGAGCGAAGGGGTGGGGGTGGTGGTGAGCTGAGTCTTTGTTAGTATTGTGGTATTAGCGGTAAGGAGGGGCTAGAGGTTGGCGCTCGGTGTCTGAGTCGTGCGTGTTTGGGATACGTACCTCATGTTGACTCAATTAACAATTCTCACATGAAGCACGAGACTCTAGTATAGTAATTGGGTGCAGCAGTGCGGGGCTGCAGGTGGGAGAGGAGTAGGAGAGGGTCAAGCAACACGACCGCGTCGCGCTTTCCTTTTCCACGCGTAAAGTGGTTTGACTGCAGCCAATCAACGGCCACGCGCATCTTGTGCCATCGATAGGCCTCACAACCCTCCACAACTTGCAATCCCAACAAGTCAGCTTTGGGGCTTTTCAAGCGCTTTGGCATAGACTCATATCTCCAGCGCCTGTTCGGAAATAATATAAAAGCAGTCACCAGTGGGATATTCTGTGATCATGGCTGATTCACAATCCACAAGCATGTCTTCCAAGCCGCGCTCTAGCAGCATGTCGCAAGCATCCGAAAGTTCCCAGACGGCAGCAGAGTATGTTTTCTAGGAGACAACTACGGTGAAATTCGCTGATTGTATTTGAATAGCTTTATCAAAGAGCAGCTTAGCCTCGAGGCAGAAGCACGCGAGGCCCTTCCATATGTGAGTGAGCACACGCCAGATCACCTGTGCACTTGCTGATGCCTGATAGCAATTCGACACTTGCACGCGCGACCTTGGTCCCCTTAGACAAAGCCTCTATGCATGTCTCACTTGCAATCCTGCGCCCGCTTCGTCCGCTCAACAGTACACACCAGCAGGCGTCTGCTATTCATGCTCCATTTCCTGCCATGGCGAACACACGCTCGTTGAACTGTTCAATAAGCGCGACTTCATATGCGATTGCGGCACTACGAGGATACCGGACATGACGCCTTGTACACTTCGCATCAATGCGAAGACTGGGCTGAAAGGCGAGGTGACAGGAGAAGAGCCCGCGAAAACCAACAAATACAATGACAACTTCCAAAACAAATTCTGCGGCTGCGGTCGAGAATATGATCCTCATGAAGAGAAGGGCACAATGTTCCAATGCCTTGGGCTTGGAAGCTGTGACGAAGGTGGCTGTGGTGAGGATTGGTGGCATCCCGAGTGTTTAGTTGGCTTCACTCGAGAGGAGTACAGCAAGATGATCGAAAAACCTGAAGCTGGATCAAAGAATAGTACCACCGAAGCTATGGATGTCGACAAGGCAGCGGAAGGAGAGAAAAAGGCTAACGGGAATGCGGAAGAGACGGTGCCATCGAACGACACGGCTATTGCCGACACAGTCACAAGCAGCAATGGTGTCGATGGGAACGATATTGCAGCGGCTGGCGGCGAAGACGAAGAAGAAGACGACGACCCGCCCCTACCTCCAGGATTTCCCGAAGAAGATGACTTTGACCACTTCCTCTGCTACAAGTGCGTCGCCGCAAACCCATGGATCAAGAAATATGCGGGCTCAACCGGATTCCTGCCACCAGTATACTACGACAAAGCCATTGCGCTTTCCCACTCAGAGAAGGTCACTGTCGCTGCCCCAGAGAATGACAGCAAGAAACGCAAAGCATCCGATGAAGACGAAGAGGAGCAGCAGACTCCCTCGAACCTAGCAGCTCCTGCACCGGCTAAGCGCCAAAAGTCTGAAGACCCAAGTGGCGCCCTCTCCAGCATCCCCGAGGGCCTTCCCGCCCTCCCTACACCCCCAAAGAAAGCCGAAGCACTAAAACACACCTCTCTTCCCGCCTTACCCGAACCCGCCCTCACAACCCCCTTCTCCCTCTTCTTCAAACCCGACTTCCGCGACCACCTCTGCCACTGCGATACTTGCTACCCGCAACTCAAACTGCACCCCCAACTCCTCGAGGAAGAAGACACCTACGAGCCCCCCGTCTCAGAAGACGGCGATCAAGGCGCGCAATCCGTAGGCACAGGCAGTATCCTGGACCGTGGCGAAGCCGCCTTCAACAACATGGATCGTGTTCGCGCCATCCAGGGCGCAATGGCATATGCGCATATTAGAGACAAGGTTTCTGCGTTCCTAAAGCCGTTTGCCGAGTCGGGTCAGGCAGTTGGGGCCGAGGATGTCAAGGCGTATTTTGAGAAGCTGAGGGGTGATGCGCAGGGGATTGAGGATGCGGCGGGTGGTGCAAAGGCGAGTCGCGATAATGAGGATGGATAAGTGGGTGGCGGTGGTGGGAAGGAGCAGAGTGGATATTGAGATTGGGATGGTGGGATAGGGAGGTAAGGAGGCTTGGAACATGCACGCTTAAGTGGATGATGAACACTTGAGATAAAGTAAATTGGAACTATAGTAATGAAATAATTCGAAGTGATCGACTTGCGATTCGTAAAAAAAATGTACTAGTCAATAGATACAATAACTAAATAACTCTCCGTTCCGCAAAACTAGGGGTATCAAATCAATCTTCGTTCTTCTCTCCCCCTCTATTACTTTTCTTTTCTTGGATAAAAAATATATTCACTACCTCACTACGCCGTAGCCGTCACAGTGACCGTCTCCCTAACCGTCTCCTTCTCCGTCGTCGTAGCCGTTACGGTAAAGATCTGGCTTGGTGGAATGGGGGTGATGATGAGGGGGCCTTCTGATGTTGTCGAAGACGAAGACGGAGAAGAAGGTGTAGGTTCAGGTGCTGGTGGCGGCGGCGGCGATGATGCGGACAGGGTGGTTGTGGGTGCAGGTGGAGATGAGGTGGCATCTGATGTCGATGCGGGGGCTTCTGGAGAAGACGGGGATGGAGAGGGGGATGATTGCTGTGAGGGTTCCGGGGTAGGAGTGGTGGACGGAGATGGCTGCGCTGGAGGCTCTGCAGGGGGTGCCGAGGACGAGGTTGGCTGTGCTGATGTTGAGCTTTCTGGTGAAGGAGGAGAGGGGCTGCTAGGGGCTGCAGGTGGTGTTGGCTCTGCTGACGACGAAGTTGCTTCAGAGGCAGAAGAAGCAGCTGAGGAGCTGGGTGCTACTGGCTCGGGTGCCGCAGACGTGGCTGGTACTTGGGATGTCTCGCTGGGCGCCAGCGTGGCCATGACTGTCGTGAACGACGTAACGATTACTACTGGTGGGACCTGTAAAGAATCCGACGGTACAGCCAGAGCCGCTGAGCTGGCAACAGGTGGCACTGCCTCCTGACCTTCCTTGCAGCTTGTCATAGCCGGAGTAGGCGTAGCTGACCCTGATACTGGCTCTTCAGATGCCGTGATAGCCGCATCGGGTGACGGGGCAGAAACATACACAGTGGTGTATGATGTGACCATAATACGTGATGTCACGTCCGCCAAGTCACCTGTAGATCTCGAGGACGATACTACAGGTGAACCGCTAGAAACACTAGATGCTCCTACAGATGACGCAACGGTAGTCGGGCTAGAACTGTTGTTCGATGGTAGTTGACTTGGAGCTGCTGATCCAGGATGTTGAAAGCCAGGCATTCCTCCAGAGGTAGGCGCTGGTGCTTCACTGGTAGGAGGAGTGACTGAGGCTAGGGAAGCCGAAGACGCTTGCTCTATGGGCGAGTACGTGAATTTGGGATACTCACGACTAGTAACGCTAGCTGTACTGTTTTCAACAACTTTGACGGAGCTTGACAGTGCTGATAGGGTATCAGAAGAGAGAGTGGGGGTTGGGCTACTCTCGACTGGTGCTTGTTTTAGACCCGGCGTAGTGGTAGGTGTGGGTACCACACTGGATGATTTGGCTGTTGTAGGATTTTGTGTAGGTGTGATGAAGGATGTGGATAGAACAGTTTCTGGATCTTGCGTCGCCAGTGGTTCGCCATCTGGATTCACAAACGTGATACCTGGGGCTACTGATGTGAATATTGTTGGCTGAATAGGCTCTACTACTAGAGCAGTGTCTAGTTGCGCGACTGCCTTTTCAGATGTTGAAGAAATTATGGAAGAAGTGTTAAAGTATCCAATAAACCTATAGTTGCTTAGTGAGTGATTTTGCTGGGGTGGCTGGAAACAAGTGTCTTACTGGCGCCTCTGGTGGTTCCTTGGGACCGGCCCACCAACAACACATGTTGAATAAGCTGCCAGCAGCACGAGGTTGGAAAATATGGCCATTTCGAAAGCTTGCTACGATTAGGGTACCAGAAAGAAAGAAGAACCAACGGTGCGATACCAGCGCTTGGGAACAGATTAGTTAAAACGACAGACAGACTGGACGAAAAGACTGAGGAAAAGTGGACAGTGATATGAAACGACCGACAAGACAGAACTAACGAGAAGGAAATAAAGCACGGAAGGAAACAGGAAACAACGGGTCTCAGCTAAAGACAACCTAGACGTTCAGATTGCTATCGTGAGGGCATCACGGCATCTGGGCTGCCAGCAGTTTTGAAGCTGCATTAGCCGCCTTGAGCACGGTTTGAGCGCAGTTTGACCAGGCAATGGCACAAAGAGCGGTATTGGCCCAGCATGATCGCAGTAGCGAGTAATTTAGAGAGGCTGGTCAAGCCCCAGTGGAAAGTACGGTAAGTATGCAAAGAGTGGCTGTGGAGCACTGATGCGCTGGGTTGACGTTTCACCGCTGGGCCAATGAAACGGCGACAGGCCATAGTACAGCGACAGCGGCCAGGCGCTTCGCCGGAACAGTCTGGCCCCTCGACGCACACGACTGGCTGCGCTGCAAATAGCATCTGGGGTATGAGGCTCGTCGGCGCTATCCGACACCGTACCTGGCTTGTCGTGCTGCCGATGCCCATGTCCTGGGGGGGGGGAGGTGAGCGTGAGCGTGTCTTTTCGCATTGACAATGTGTCGCGGCATGGCTAGGCCGCGTGCAGGGAGCATTGAGTGGTTTGCGAAGTCATCATGACGGAGACCATGGACATTGTCGGTACCCAATTGTCAGTTGCAGTTGCATGGAGATCGATGGAATAGTGGATGACGGGGTTGGGTGATGGGGAGGCTGCACGTGCCGCTTGTTCTTCCGCCCCGGCGGTGACAGGTTGACGAGGCAACGCACCAAAAGCGACTAGGGGAGACGAGAAACGCGATGCGCGTGAGTGGGCCCTTTGAACAACGCAGACCTGCAGCGTCACGTAACGGTAGGCCCGGCATTCTCTTCTCTGTAGATTTAGGCTTGTTGTTTTCCGTCATCCTTCACCAACCATTGTCGTCGCCGGGCCACCACCATGAGCGTACGCGTTGTCGCGAGGATACGTCCTCTTCTGAAACAAGAGATCGATAAGGATACCATTGTCACGGCCGAGAAGCTCGAGGGCGAGACCACCCCGGCCGTTGTGCGCATACCGAGTCCCAAGAACGAGGCCGAGTCTTTCAGCTTCCAATTCAGTTCCGTCTACGAGCAGGACGCGACGCAGCAGCAGCTGTTTGATGCTGAAAGTGAGTATCCATCGCGCAACAGGGTGCCGTGGCCAGCATTGACCTTTAGCTAGTCGCCCCAACGGTAAAGCACCTCTTCAGTGGATTTGATCTATCCATCTTCGCCCATGGCTGCACGGGTACGGGCAAGACCCATACGATGCGCGGAGGCAAGTCGCTGGCCGACAGGGGTGTCATTCCGCGTCTTCTGAGCGCCATATTCCGACGATGCAAGAAGATCGAAAAGGACTCGGCCGGAGCCAACCAGGTAGAGGTCGCGCTAGAGTACTTTGAGATCTACTGTGATCGCGTCTACGACTTGTTCGAGCCACCAGAGAAGCGAACGCCCTCGGGTCTGCCCATCAGGGACAATCGCGGAAAGACCGTTGTCGTGGGCCTGACTGAGAAGCCATGCACGACACTCAAGGAGTTTGAACAACTCTATGACCAGGCCAATCTCAACAGGTCCACATCAGCCACAAAGGTAACCAATCTGCTCGCACGCGTCTGGGTAGAGCGCTGCTAACCGTCCTACAGCTCAATGCGCATTCATCGCGTTCTCACGCGGTTCTGTGTGTCAAGATTACCCAGACTACTGGAAACACTATTCGCGTCAGCCGCGCATCATGTATTGACCTTGCAGGATCAGAAGACAACCGCAGGACAGAAAACAACAAGGAGCGCCTGATTGAGAGTTCGGCCATTAACAAATCACTCTTCGTACTGGCGCAATGTGTCGAGGCTATGAACAAGAAGGCCAGCAGGATACCCTACCGCGAGTCCAAGATGACCAGGATCCTGTCTCTGGGTCAGAACAAAGGCTTGACCGTCATGATTCTAAACCTTGCGCCCACTCGCGCTTACCATCTCGACACTATCAGTTCGTTGAACTTTGCCAGTCGCACAAAGAAGATTGAAGTCGCAGAAGTGGAAAATGACCCGATGTACAAGACCGCAGTTAAGCCTTTGGCGACAACGAGCAACATTGGCGGACCAGCCATGGCACGCCAACCGCTCCGATCACTGGTAGCTGCTACCAACACCACAATCGCAGATGCGGACAAGAAGAAAGGAGAAAAGCCTACAAAGGCCTTCTCTGTATATTCTGATTCCCGCAAGGCTGCTCCTCGTGTTTCTAACACTACACAGAATCAGGGCATTCGACGAGCGGAAGCTCCTAAGCGTGCAGCTGAGCCCAGCAACACTTTTGCGTCCCGGCCAACCAAGACTTTCCGCGCCGCGGACAATGCTTCACGGATACGACCAAATGAGCTAGCACTAACCAAGGAGACTATCGAAGCTCTCATCGCCCAGAAGGTTGACGAGAGGCTTGCAGAAAAGGCACTGCAAGACGCTACCAATTCTGCCCCAGCGCTATCAGCCGAGTTGCAGAAACGGTTGGATGAACTTGAGCAACGTCTTGAAGTCAAAGAAGAGGATGGAAAGTCACAGGGCTTGCAGTTCTTGTTGATGGCAAAGCAACACCACATCCGCGGTGAGGATGCAAGTGCACTGAGAATGTACCATCTTGCACAACCTTACTTCCCGGACAACGCCAAGCTAGAAGCCAAGATGAAGAAGCTGGAAGAGAAGATTCGCGCAAAGAGGGAAGAGACTCAAAGGCACGCCTCCATGCCCATCAGCCTACCCTCTCACCCATCCCCTGCCCGCGTGTCAAACATCATGCCCCCCAAAGTAGGAAAGTCAATCCCCAGGCCAAAAATGGTCTACCGCGACGAACCCGAAGAAGACAAAGATGACGAAGAATTCGCCCCTGCCCCACCCTCCGACCACGACTCCGACTCCGACGCCTCCGACGACAGCTTCCAGTACAAAACCAAGGCCCCAGCCCGCAAGCCCATGAAGACCACTAGGAAACTCCCCGTCTTCCGTGACACCGCCACCTCTGCCTCGACTACTGATTCCGTTCCCCGTTCCAAGCTCCCTGTCTGCCACACACCCCGGACCTCGCACCTCCTCAAGATCATCAACTCTCGTGACGTAAACCAGATCAAGGGCCTCAAGGGTGTCGGCGCAAAGAAAGCGGATAGCATTGTCAACTGCCTTGTCGAAATGGATGATACTGAAATCTTGGATCTCGAGTCGTTGGCTATGCTCAAGGGTGTGGGCGGTAAGACGGTGGATAACATGAGACTTGGACTCAAGCTTGATGCCTCGTATGACTTTTAGATAAGTCGGGGCTGGGTTAGGTTATTCTTACTTTCGTCGTTTTGTTCGATTGCATGGTGAGAGGTTGGCATTTTTTTCTATGCTTACTCGTCTTACTCTTTTTTTTTACTCGCTCCATAGCGTGGTGCCCTGGCGTTTCTTGTTTTTTTTACTACAGTGGCTTGTTTAGACCACTAAAAAGGGCTCACCCACTAGTAAGTTGCATCTATAAGTGCTGTTTGGGATTTTCTAGGGTATGGCAGCGTTGATCTGCTCCCCTTCTTTTTTGCATAGATAGATGTATACCTCCGTGTAAGAGGTCTGATAATCAAATCAAATCAAATAGTTTTACTGATAATACTTCTGTGCTGGATCAATCCTCTCTTCTTCTTCTTCTTCTTCTTCTTCTTCTTCTTCTTCTTCTTTCATTCCACGTGTCAGAGTATTGTATGCACAATCATATGTACATAGGATCGATTAGAAACCATATCATTAGGGTAAAAGAAGGAACCACTACACATCACTCCTCCCATCTAAAAAGGCCAAACCCACTCTTCCGTCTCCTTCGGATCCACTCCCTCATGGAACGCATAATTCTTCGCCTTAATCTGCTCATCCAGCAGCTTCTCGCGCGTCGCCGCGCCCCTATTACCCAAGCTAGGAATGTTATCCAGCGCATCAATTGCCAAACTATAGCGATCAGTTCCATTGCGAATCGCAAGCTCAAGCGGCGTATCGATATTTCCCTTCTCCCTATACCCACGCACAAGCAAGTTCTGTTGACCCTTGCGGCCGTAGGTAAGACGGTGTACGAGCCAAGGGTAGGAATGGAAGTTGAAGATACAGGGCACGTTGTCTGTGAAGATGGCCTTGTACTCGTGAGCTTTGAGGCCGTGCGGGTGCTGTGAGTCGTCGATGAGTTTGAAGAGGTCGACGACGTTGACGAAGCGGATTTTGAGGTCGGGGAGGTGTGTGCGGAGGAGGGCTGTGGCGGCGAGGGATTCGTGGGTTGAGACGTCGCCACAGGAGGCCATGACGATGTCTGGTTCTTCACCCTTGTCGTTGCTGGCCCATTCCCAGATGCCGACGCCTTTTGTGCAGTGGGCAATGGCTTGTTCCATAGTGAGGTATTGGAGGTGCTCTTGCTTGTCAGCGACGACGACGTTGACGTAGTTTTCGCTGCGGAGGCAGTGGTCCATTGTTGAGAGGAGGCAGTTGCCGTCTGGCGGGAGGTAGATACGGACGACCTCGGGGCTCTTGTTTGCTACCACGTCAAGGAAACCGGGGTCTTGATGAGTAAATCCGTTGTGGTCTTGACGCCAGACGGTTGATGTGAGGAGAATGTTGAGCGATGCAACCTTTTGCCTCCATTCGACTTCGAGACACTTTTCAATCCACTTGCAGTGCTGGTTGACCATGGAGTCGATGATATGAATGAAAGGCTCGTAGCTGTTGAGCAATCCATGCCTTCCAGAAAGGACATAACCTTCGAGCCAGCCCTGAATAGCATTAGTAACTTGTCTCCAATTTCAGCTGGTTTCCTTACCTCTACAGTGTGCTCAGATAGCATCTCCATTACCCGGCCTTCATGGGCCAAGTTACCACCGTCCTTGTCCATATCGAGGTACTCGCCCATCCACACTTTCTGTCCCGCTTCATACACATTGCTAAGTTTGTTAGATTGTGTCTCATCAGGTCCAAAAAGGCGGAAGTCCTTTGGGTTCAGCTTGATCACGTCGCGGAGGAAGTTGGCAAAGTTGCTCATACTGCCCACCTTGGCAACACCACCTTTTGTGACTTCGATAGAGTACTCGCGGAAATCAGGCATGTGAAGCTTGTTGCGGATCGAACCACCGTTTGCAACAGGGTTGGCACTCATCCTCCTGTTGCCAGTTGGCGCCAACTCCCTGAGCTCAGGAATAAGCTTGCCGTCCTTGTCAAAGTGCTTGTCAGGCTCGTAACTGCGCATCCATTCCTCGAGTAGCTTGAGTTGGGATTTGTCTTTCAACACGTTTGTAAGAGGGACTTGGTGCGAGCGCCAGAAGCCTTCCAAGAAATGGTCACCGTCAACCTTGCTGGGGCCAGTCCATCCCTTGGGTGTGCGGAGTACAATCATCGGCCAACGAGGTCTGAAGGCTTTGCCTGAATCCCTTGCCTGTTTCTGGTACTCACGAATCTTGTTCACACAGCGCTCCATAGTAGCTGCCATGGCCTGGTGCATAGAGGGGATGTCACTGCCCTCAATGAAATAAGGAGTCCATCCGTAGCCGATAAACAGTGACTCAAGTTCCTTGTGGCTGACACGAGCAAGGACAGTGGGATTGTTGATCTGTAATGGGTTAGACAGTCGTTTCGTATATGCACTCACAAACGTACCTTGTAGCCATTCAAATGTAGTACGGGCAAGACAGCGCCGTCTGTAATTGGGTTGAGGAACTTTGTTGAGTGCCAGCTCGTAGCCAGAGGGCCAGTCTCAGACTCGCCATCTCCGACCATTGTAAGAGCAATCAAATCCGGGTGGTCGAATACTGCACCAAAGGCGTGAGAGATGGAGTAACCAAGCTCACCACCTTCGTGCAAACTACCGGGCGTCTCGGGCGTAGCATGAGATCCAATTCCGCCTGGGAAAGAGAAGTATTTGAAGAAACGCCTCAAGCCCTCCTCATTCTCACCCTTTTGAGGGTATACTTCAGAGTAGACTCCTTCAAGGTAGCTGTTTGACAAGACGGCTGGAGCTCCATGACCAGGACCAGAAATGAAGATGGCGTCTAAGTCATATTTCTTGATAAGACGGTTCTGTTTTGAGTAATTTGATTAGTACACGAGTCTTGCTATCCCGTCTTGTGTGCACTCATACCATGTGGATATATGTGAAACTCTGTCCCGCATCCGAGCCCCAATGTCCCAACAATCGTCGCTTGATATGGTCGAGTGTGAGTGGCTCACGGAGAAGAGGGTTTCTCCGGAGGTAAATCATGCCCAGACACATGTAAAGAGAGGCATGGAAATAGTCCGTCATCTTCTGTACCTCATCGCTGCTGAGAGGATGCTCAGTGATTGAAGCCCTTGCGGGACCAAATGGAGATAGACTGAGGTGCTCAACATCTTCAGCGGCAGTCTCGGGATCCGCCGGGGCTTTGGCTATCATAGCATCCATGATTATTTGCTAAGAGGAAAGCAGCGTCGCTTTCCGATTTAGATGACGTTTTTGTATGTAATCCGACTTGACAATGGGCAATTATCCTCAAAAAGTGAGCTGGTTTTGAGGAGAGACCAGCAGAAGGATTTCGAGTTGCAAAAGATATTAGTTGGTAATTAGGAAGCAAGGTAAAGGCACGAACAAAGCAGAGGGTAGAGAGTGCTTTAAACAGTCGGATATGTAAGGGTAAGAACTAGCCAGCGGCAAGGCCGGAGACGTTGTCCTGGCCCATTGAAAGTATTTGATTGGCTCTGGTGCTGCATATGCATCTCATCATAGCGACAAATTCCTTTTTGGCGTATACGAGCTCATGTTGGTAGCTGCCATAGCTACGTCATGGCCTAATGTGCCCACCACAAAGTGGGGTTGGTTCAAAAACACGCTAGCAGCAACGAGCTCTTTGTAGCATTAAACATCTGGCGCTTCTTAGAAATCATCAGGTCATATATTTGAAGTGCAGGATCTTTGGTTGGATTTAGACAGCGTGAACGGTCTTGGTGGTGTGATCTACAAACTCAGGCACCGCCCGAGGTATGCAGTATGTTTCAACGGCGGAACGCGGCGGACATGTTGGGTGACAGCCTCCACCTAGCATGGAATCTTGTTTTAGACTCGGCTCTTCATCCGGACGGGGAACGATCTAGGCAAGCATCTGCAATTGGCACGACCTCGGCAGGAAAGGTTAGTGGTGTTAGTCTCGACGTCAAGATGGTGGAGCAACACTTGCAAGATGGAGGTCATTCAGTTTTTATTTTGCCAAAGACAAGTCGTGCAGTAACATTGAGGTCTAGCAGATCCTAGTAGCTAATTGAAAGTACATGGTTGCAACTATATGGTCAGTGCAGTCCATAATCACCCTCTGCAATAATTGTCCGCTGGCACTCTGCGAGGATAGCTGCTTGCCTGGCCACATCTGCCAGCCTCCCAATGACCATCTTGTTGCCATCCACGAAGCCATAGAGCGCATATGGTATATCCACCTCGTTGCAAAACTCTTGCACTAGCTTCTGCGTCTTCCTCAGGTTGTGCCGGGGGATGCGAGGGTACAAGTGGTGGATGGCCTGGAACTGGAGACCTCCATGGAAGAAGTCTAGCCACTGCGGACAGTCAACATCCATGGTCGTTCGCAACATCTTCTGGGCAAAGGACTCGTGAACACCCAGATCTGCAGTACTCATTGCGAAGTGAGACAATGTGATCTGTACGTGGAGTGGCGAGGTCAAAGCATGGGTAATGAGCACAAACCAGAAGCGGCTCCAGTTGTCTGGTATCGACTTGTACACGACTCCATAGCCGTACCATGTCCAGAAGACCATTATACCCATAATCTCAAAGTAGCGGTGCCACCACGCAGGGCCTTTCTTGGGACCTTTTCCACCAAGCAAATACATCCAAGACAGCCGGTAAAGGTTGAAGCGCGCAAAGAGCATGATCGGGTAGTACGTGTAGTGCTGGATGCGAATCATAAATTTCGCAAAAGCATCATACTCCATAACCCAGCCGTAAAAGGTCGTTGTGAGACTCTCCATGAAACGGTGCGTAATGGAGAACAAGGGAATGTACTGGATATCCGGGTCGTGTTCAGGGTGGTTAGTAACGAAATGGTGGACATTGTGGTTGTACTTCCACCAGCAGGCGCTCAAGCCACCCATGAAGGATGCAATGAACATTGCAATGGTAGAGTCTGTGGTGAAGTCGTGGGTGATGCCCATGTGTCCAGCATCATGGACTGTAAACGTAAGTTGATGCCAGAGACATGCAAGAGGAATGGCACTAGTGATGTACCAGCCCGCATGTAGCAGGAACAAGAATGCGGCCAGGAAGGAGCCGTAGCGCAGGCATTCAATGCCATATGCGCTATAGTTGCATTCGTACAGCCCTTCTTTCTTGATGCGCACCTGCAGCTCACGATACTTTTGTGTGATGTTGTCCTGGGTGACAAAGTCGACCGACGGGTATTTGGCCTTGTCCAAGTCCAACTCTTCCTGGGTTCTTCTGTCGAGAAGTGACATCTTTGGGGACTTTTGGTCAAGCTCGGCTGACGAGATGCTCGAGGTCGAGGAGGCTCTGGTGATGTTGTTGCCATTGCGCTTGCGAAGAGGATCGGAGGGTCGGTCTGCTGGTTCAAACAGCGGGCTGTTGTTGGCAGAAGACGAAGAGCTGGTAGCCTCTTGATCTGAGGAAGAGGCTGACGTCGCATACTCTTCTTCGGAGAGTTTGTCCAGCTCTTCCTGTGTCCTGAACTTTCCTCCTTGTATCGGTGGTAGGAAGTTGGTCCACCGGCCCTCGACTCGACCAATCTGGTAACGGCTCATGAGCTGGAGCGTTTGCGTGGAGTGGAAGCTAAAGCGTCTAGTTCAGCACTGTGTCGGTATTGTATGGTCGAACAAGACATACCGAGTGACTTCGTCTGTTGCATCGCGTCCCACCATGTGTCGGATGGCTTTGTCACCGCCTGGATGGTACGGCAGCCAAGCATCGAGCTTCAGGACTGCATTGTCCACGATGACAATTGAGCGCCCATTGGCAATCTGAGCCTCGATGTCTCGCCGGCTGAGCACTTTGGATTTCCTGTCTGTCTGGGTGGCCATGATTTGGCGCAGGGCGATGGGGTAGGATGTAACGAGAGTGCGCGCAAAAGATATAATGCAAGATCAATGGCCGCCTCTGCAGGGCTCAATTGGCGGGCCGAACCAACACTAGACAGATCACGTTGAAGCTCATAGGGAGAAGTGCATGTTTGTGGGGGTGGAATGCCGGGGCCATGTAGTGGAACAGGAGACGGTGAGCTGATTAAGTTGGTGAGTGGCTCCTGGTGGCGGCGGACCCTGCGGCGCCTTGCACGTCCCTATTGCCCCACGTTCCAATGCCCACCTAGCTGGTAGTCACATGATTGAGGCTAGAAACAACTATGGAACCCCAGCCATTCATGTACAGTTACGCAGTCTATGCGTAAAAATAGGGACGTGGGGTCACTTCTGAAATGTTGGGGATTTACACAGAGTTTGGCGCGATTGGGGACAGATAAATATGTTCAGTAGGCAGCCCTTTCCCACCTGGGCATGCGGTTCGCTTTGCTTCGGCCAACTCCGTCGTCACCAGATTGACAAGTCTTGACTGCACGCCAGGTCACTCCACAATATTAGTTCAGGCCGCGAACACTATATACAAGCTGCTCCTTTGCTCCCCCTCCCCTTCTCAGCACCCCTGAACAAACACGTAGCATAACCGTCACCTGCAGAGCAGAGACAGCCCACAGACATGACCAAGGATATCAAAGAGTTGGCGAGCGAGTGGCTAGAGCTGGACGAGGACAAGACAACGACTGACGAGATCTACAAACTTTTGGTCAACGGCGACCACGATGAGCTCGAAAGGAGACTGCGACACCGCATTGCCTTTGGTACTGCCGGACTCAGAGGACCAATGCAGGGCGGCTTTGCTTGCATGAACTCCCTGACAGTTATCCAAGCTTCGCAAGGACTGGCTGCATACCTCTTGAAGACCGAGGAAAATGTAAAGAAGAGGGGTGTGGTCATTGGCCGGGATGCGCGACACAACTCTGAGAAATTCGCCAAGCTCACGGCCGCCGCATTCGTGGCAAAGGGTATCAAGGTGTGGTGGTACGAGGAGCCTAGTCATACGCCCATGGTCCCTTTTGGTGTGCGCGAGCTTGAAGCTGCCGCTGGTATCATGATTACTGCAAGCCATAACCCGGCCAAGGACAACGGCTACAAGGTATACTGGTCAAATGGTTGCCAGATCATCCCTCCACACGACAGCGGCATTGCACAGTCTATCTTGGAGAACCTCAAGCCCGTCACTTGGGACACTTCAGTGGTGGAAAGCTCGCTTTTGGTCGAGGGAAGCTTAGGGCTAGTGCAGGACACATACCACAAGGCCATTCTCTATGCAGCACACCCTGAGCATGTTCAAGTCAAGATGGATCCAGAACTCAAATTCGTATATACCCCCATGCACGGTGTGGGACTTCCCGCAATGCAGCGATGTGCTCAAACTCTTGGAGTCGCTTCTCAGATGAGCATTGTCGAGGCTCAAGCACAACCCGACCCAGACTTCCCAACGGTGAAATTTCCGAACCCAGAAGAAAAGGGGGCATTGGATCTGGCAATTGAAACTGCGGAAAAGTCCTCGACACGCCTAATTCTCGCTAGCGACCCTGATGCGGACCGACTTGCAGTAGCGGAGAAGGTGGGTGATAAATGGCACATCTTCACAGGCAACCAGCTTGGAGTACTGCTTGGCTCTTACCTCTTCGAGCGCTATCCCACCTCGAAGCCGCGAGAGAAGCTTGCCATGCTGGCTTCCACAGTCAGTTCCCGGATGCTTGCTGCGCTCGCTAAGAAGGAAGGCTTCCATTTCACAGAGACCTTGACTGGGTTCAAGTGGCTCGGCAATGTAGCGCGACAGCTCGAGAGCAAGGGCTACGACGTTGCGTATGCCTTTGAAGAAGCTCTGGGCTACATGATCCCACAAACTGTGCACGACAAGGACTCGATCAGTGCTGCAGCAGTTTTCCTCACAGCCGCGTCACAGTGGTCGTCACAAGGGCTTACACCCTATGCCAAGCTGCAGCAACTCTACAAGTATCTCGGCTATTTCGAAGACGCAAACACGTACCTCGTGTCACCATCACCGTCGGTGACTACCTCAGTGTTTACAGCCATCCGTGCACTTGGCAGCCCATACCCAACTACTATCGGGACGCGGAGGATTGTGCGCTGGCGCGATTTGACACTAGGCTATGACTCAAAGAGTGAGGATCACAAGCCTGATCTGCCTATCGACCCGACCGCCCAGATGATCACCTGCGAACTAGATGATGGGGCCGTCTTTACCGTCCGAGGCAGCGGGACGGAACCGAAGATTAAGCTTTACATTGAGTGCCAGGGCAAGAGTAGTGAGGAGGCCAAGCAGGGTGCTAACGGCATCTTGGAGGATCTGCTGAGAGAGTGGTTCAAGCCCGAGGAGAATGGTCTCCGGCTGGCGTAAGAGATGGAGGGTGCGTAGGTATGTCGGTACCTTTGAGTCCATCGCAAATTACGAATGGGGGTGTCTGCTTCTCTTATACACGAGCTCCTCTTACCACTAGATCTGAGAAGAATGATAGTGTTTGTCCGCCGCGATTGATAGGCGTCCATCTCCTTAGATCAGACGGCCGAAATACTTTGGCGCCGAGTATTAAAGTAGGAATATATAAGATTCTTATGTACGGCATGACCAGTCTACACTTACTAGTGCTGTATACACCTATAGAGGATCTCGGATGGGAAGTCGCGTCATGGCCATTCTCGGATCGAACTAAACCTCAACCAGACACTTTTGCCCCAAAGGATCACGCAAGTTGTATAGAAGCGTTGCTGGTGTTACATGACCATCATGGTTGCATGAAGATGCTACTGTGTAGGTACATGGCCACACGACTAGCCGCGTCAGTTGGCGCGTCCCCCATGCAAGATACGCAAGACGCGTGCATGGCAAAACGATGCATCGTTTTCTCAGCCCAGACCCGGGTTGCCGAATGCGGGCCCTGTAGATGCAGCAGCAGTGCCGTGAGGATGCATCGCTGACGACAACAAGCCCCGTGGATAAGATTTCTGCCTGGCGCATACTTGGAGGTGCATGTGTATGCGCGTGGTATTTGGAAGGTTGGAATGGATATCGCCGCCACCGCCGCCGCTGCTGCTGCTACCACTCCACCGTGACAAATGGAAGCGTAGAGGGCGCAGCTGAAGGAGTGGGCGGAAGAGAGTTTTTTTTGCCTGGATTCCAGGGCCAGAGTCGTCTTTTTGCTTTTCGCAGCATCGCCCGGGCTGGAGATTGGACTTGATGCACGTCCAAGGGCCAGGGTGTTGTCGCCCAGACGTCGGCGGGCCTATCAAGGCATGGCCTCAGTGTTCAGGAGCCGTCCCGCGCTGTATCCAGACTCCGGGGAAGCGTTTGCGGCGCCGCCCACCACCCTACCCGTTGCTAGGTGCGTCCATGTGTGCATGCCAAAGAGTCACGGCCCAAAAGTAATCGATGGCCTCTCTCCCCTCCACATGCTCCCACCATCTTTGGTGCGTCACCCTCCCCTGCCGGCTCCACCCGTGCCATTAATATATAAATCCTGCGTCGCGTCCCCCTCCTCATTCGCCTATTTTCTAGAAAGCCGTCCAAACTCCCTCGGTATGCCCTGTTCCCAATGTTTCTCGGGTCGCTGCTAACCGCACAGCAGCCTCTCATAGTCGCAGCGAGTATGGCTCGATTCTAGACTAATTGCGTCCTCTGCGGGATGCGTAGACATCAGCATCCATGGCCGGGTTTGCAGACCCACCCACGCTACCACCAGCACCCTCGAGACGACCGCTCCCCAACGGACCATGCAATTATCGCGACGCCAGTCTAGGACCATGCGGATGTGACCAGTTCTGGGATAAGCTCAGCGCCGACTTGCACGACGAGAGCACTGAGCATCGTCCGGGGAGTGAGCGCTCGACCTGGTGTGTCTGCGGCCACCATGCCTGCTTCCATCTGAAGGCGTCGCGTGCGCCTGAACGGCGTGCGCCTTCAATTTCTGTCCCGCTGCCCTCACCTCACGCGCTGTGTGAGGGCCAATGCCAGACTCTGCCCACGGCGCCATGCGATGCGCATGCTGGATTGCGCCTGGCTGCGCCTGGCGGGCCCCAATCTATGCGCCTTGAGCGTTTCAATTCGCAGTTCACTCACAGCCAGCGACATCTCCTACACACTTCACGAGTCCACGAGTCGGGTCGCATAGCACAAAGTCAAGACACCCCATCGCAAGCTAGCACGAGCGGTCTCCCCGGAATCCCTTCCGTGTGCTTGCTATCTCATGAGCAGCGTCCAGTCGCTAACAACGAAATTAGGCATGGGGTGAGCCAGTCGCATCACTCAGTGACAGGCCTGGGTCTCTCGACAATGCGTTTGGAGAGCATGTGTCAGGTTAACCGTCAGCAGTCGCCTACACCGACTATACCAGACGATATCAACATCGCTGGGACCCTACAAACAAATCGCAACGAGCGTGACCATTCTTTGACCAGAGCGAACACGAATAGCCCATCGCGCGCTATACTAGAACACGTCCTTCCCTTCAATCGCAATATACAGCTTGATATACCTGGCGATACCATCCCAAACACATACAACCCTGAAGAATACGTGCAAAGCACTACAGAAGTCGCAACTCCAAGTGCAGGAGCTACCCCAGACCTGAGTGCTGCTGATCGGGCGGTACAAGAAGGAAAGAACCTGATTGACACTTTGGCAAGAATGACTTCAGATATGCAACCGCAGGCGGCCAGCTCACCAGAGCGACCAACCAATGCCACAATGCCTACTCAGCTTTTGCTGGAAAACTCTCCTTCAGTGCCCCAGGAACAGCTGCAAAATCTCTTACAAACAGCTTCTCCACAAGGACTCCAAAAGCTCGTGTCCTATCTCGCTCCGTTGCATAACTTGCTAAACTCGATACCCAACGTAGCTAACACTATGCGAGACCTGGGCAGCCGTCTCGATATGCTAGAGAATGGCTCCTTCAATTATGTGCAACCAGAAGACCTCAACCAGACCCTGGAGATGTACGAAGGCAGGCTTATTGAGGTAGAACACCGCGTGGACGAGCATGAAAAGATGCACCAAGCTTTAGATGACCACGGTAGTATCAGTTCTTTCAGTCGCAGACACATCAAGGACGTCAACACGTCTTTTGGATCAAATCACTCTGCCGACTCGACAACTTCATCGGCTCTAATACTCGCAGCCATGGATCGTAAAGACACTGAGATGGAACTTGATTACATCAAGCAAAGACTTGACGTGCTAGAAGCCGCGGCACCCCCCACCTCTCTGGCTTCTTGGGAGATTGAAGTAGTACTGCTGCCATGGGGGCCTGATTTGCGAGGCATCTGGTTCTCACAGGATGACCCAATGCATGACGTTGACAGGACCACAACTCAGAGCTCTGAAGAATGGACTCAAGCCCGGTCCTCCAGGACTAGCATGAGCACGCCAATGCTAGAAACGCGTAGACGAGACACAGACTCAAGTCCTTATCCGGGTGCTCCGATGCTGGGCAGTAACTCTGTGCTCAACCAGCACGAAAGTGGATGGAGCAGTCAAGACATTACTAACTGGGCCTCGGGATCCACCGACGACTGGCTGTTCCCCAAGGCCTGTGGAAGCAACAATCTAGTCTACAAGCGACTCCAAAGCCGTGGTTTCGTGCGAGACATTACACTGAGGGGTGCCAGTGCCAAAGACGTCCAGGAAACGCTGTCGAATGCTTTCAGCGACGTGTTTGATCATTTACAGTATGATGACAGCGATGAAAACCCCATGATTGCTGCTTATCCGGGCCTTCGGGCGTCCTACATTCCACTACGAAAGGTGCTTAGGGAATCACGACTTCGTTTCCTTACACCTGCCGAAATGTCAAGCTCGGCGTTCTGGACAGCCCAGTTTCTCGCATCTGGTGTCATGATGCGAGTATCTGGAGGAAAGAAAAGGCTGTATGTTACTCATCGAGAAGCCTATACCCAGCAGGTTGATCGAAACGAGTTTGTTGTCATGGAACAGTCATGGCCAGAGCTCCGACAATTGCCTCGCTATCAACCCGAAAAGAATTCGCAAACGGACGGCAACGATGAAGACTGCCAACCCCACGTCCCTGAAGCAGATGCCAAGGAAGCATGCTGGCAATTTGTCGAAGCGTACGATGCTCCGCCTGCTAGTATGCATTCTTCATTTGGTAGCAACCAATCTGTCCAACTGTCTATGCGACCTGCAGGCCGACAATGGCGACGATCAATTACACCAAGCTCCATCTTGAAAAAGCACACGCACCCAATCTCTCCATTGAGCGAGAATCATCCGCGACGCCCATCATCCCATCGCAATCGCACAGTGTCTGCCTCGGCAATGGATACATTTCCCCCTAGCTCGGCCAAGCGTCGCTACAATGGGTCTCCAATAAAGCAGTCGTCTGCTCCACAAACGGTATCACGCACACCCAGCCTGATGCCGAGGCTCAAGAGACGTCGCGTAACAGAGTCCGCATCCCCAAGACCACAAGAGGATGCTCGGGAAGAGCCCCAAGTTCCGATATGGACTGCAACCCCTCGGCGTTCTCGTGAACCGCCTTCACCGTTTTACTCTTCGCAACATCCATTGCCACGATCCTACTCCGACATCACAAGTAGGCCAAGTCAACGCTCTGTTACTGTGACTGGTAAATCAACTCCATTTGCTTATGCGACCCCTCACTCGGGTCCTTTTACGGGCGGTCCTGGCTACAGTGCCTACAACAACGGTGGTGACACGGAGCCAGACGATGATGACAACGCGTACAACGACGATGACGGCGAGCAGAGCTGGCACGGTGTCACTGATGGCGAGAGTGTTTCGAGCTCTGTTGCCGGCGCCGCCATTGGTGCTCAAGAGGGCGCAAGTTTCTCAGGGGACGACAGTGGCTTTGGCAGTGACAATGATGACGATAGCGATGCGCAGTCGGAAGAAGATGCCGAGGATCATGCACAGCGGCAGCAAGATGATGGAGACGAGGACGAAGACGATGTATTCGACTCTCTACTCAGTGTCATTGAAGATTAATAAGGGCTGTATTTTGTTTAACGGAGTAAGGATGTACATGTACACTTATCTCAACGTTTTTGTCTAGCGTTTTTTCCTTCTTGTCAAAACAACCAAGTTCTTTTCTCGCACTCCTTTTCCTTTTTCCTTTTCCCTCCCAGTAGGGTTTGTACATCACTCAAGATCTGGCGGCAGGTAAAATATAGTGTACGTCTAGCCACGCAAATTTCTTTTTCCTTTTTATGGCGGTTGAGTTTAATAGATTTGCTTTGGAGTCATCCCACTGTCTTGAGTTAGTACGAGAGAGTGATCATAGCGAAGTCAAGGGGCGTGGCTTAAATGTGGGTATGTGAAGGATACACTGACTCGAACCAGTCTGTCTGGGGAGGTGACCAGCATACTCTCACTAAGTCGCAAAATTTCCCCGTTTAGGGTACACACGTCCTCCCTTAGTCCTACTGGTCCGCAGACATTAAAGGGTCTAAGGCGATTTGCCAAGCAAGACACCTACAATAATAACTACACAAAAGTACCGCCTACTGCACGAGCTCTAACGGCCGCAGCCGAAATCGGTGTGGCTAGACCCTGTGTACAACACTAATTCTTTTAGATGCAGATCTCTAAAAGGCCGTTATCTGCACCGCCGTTATGTTGAGACAAAAGGTCCGAAAGCGAATTGAGCTGCTTTGCACGTTAAGAGTATTGTATCAAATTCCAGCCTGTATCTTGACATCTTCAATGATATCTCCAGGATAGAGGGTCCAAAGGCGCTTACGGATAGGTATCAGATGTATCGCTTGCTTGCTTGCGGTACTCTCGAATGTCAATGGTGTGGGGACGGCCTTATTCAGGCCCCCAGAGCGACAACCCCGGCCTCTTGAAAGGAGGCATAGCCATTGTGGAATGAACTTGGCATTTCTGGTCGGCGATCAGAACGCTGGCTTTAATTATGTCTGGACTTCCCTTGGTTCGTTGGGTATCGATTTTCGACATGTCACACTCCCACAATGGAGAAGAAAAAGCACCGCGTGTGGTTGACGAACAAACTGAATCGCAGCATACATTAATACCGAGAAGAATCGGCAGCCCTCCTAAACCAGCCGCCTCTCCTAACACGCGCGCCCAAGATATACCGATACTACGCTACAGACACCGTGCGCTTGGGATCATCGCATTCTACATTCCCATACTTGTTGTGCCATGGGTACTAACATGCATACTCGCCTATCACCCGGTGGGCCTGCCATCGTACATCCAAACTGAATTCACAGAAAGCAACATCTCAACACAGCAACGCATTATAAATGCCCTCGCAGTACTCAACTCTTTCGCCAGCATCGTCACTATCCCCCTCATCTCGGCATTGATTGCTCAAGCTGCAGTCGTTTATACGCAAAGGCGGCGGAAGAACCAAACGGTCAGTGTATCCCAGATTTTTGCGCTAGCAGACCGCGGATGGTCGAATATCAACATTCTCTGCGAAGCCTGGCCACCATGGAGGAGTAATAGGACAGCAAATGCAGATCAATCCAGACGGAGTGGGCCTGGCAGTGGGTTCCTATGGCTCGCTGCGTTGTTCCTTTTGATCTGTGGTATCCAGCAGCCTATCCGAGAGGGCTTCGTATCTATAGGGCAAGTCTTGGTCATGACCACCGAAGACAACCCTGTGGGTTCGCAGAACGGGCCCTTTCGCGGAGGAAGATATACACTCTTAGGGGTAGACCCAGAGCCAGACGACATGTCCACCATACCTGAAGGCGTAGTTGTCCAACAACTCGAGAATTCACTGGCTTCTCTCTCCTTCAGTGAGGTTCCTACGAATCTTTGGCCGGATCTACAAGATGCGGCTCCATTTGAACTGCGGGATGTGCCTCAGTTGAAGCAACTGGGACCTTGGGCACAGCCGGGTCTGGGTTTCTTCGTCGCTACTTTTCCCAACGGAACAATGACTGGTATTCTCCGACACCGCGCAATGCGATTCAACTCGACGGTCCAATGTACTGAAATCGAGCAATCTTCTTATCCCGTAACTTGCACGGGCGGAAATCCCTTTACCTCTGGTTTCACTTCATCCGGTCAATTTGGAGCGAATATCTGCGTTCCAGGTCAGCGTGGAAAGTTTCCATGGCAGCTTTCTCGCAACAGGCAGGACACTGTTGAAGATATTTTTGTGGATGTCAATACAACGGATAAGAATGATGCACCGGTAAGCTACACGCAACATTGCACTGTCAAGACTACGCGAGGCTATTTCGAGCTCGGCAACTATCGCAACAACTACATATATGGTCCCTTATTGGAGCGTTGGGACGAGCCAGACCCATTTGCAGATAGGGCACAGTACAACGACTACCTTTCGGATCTTTGGAGAGACGGCAACAGGATGGAAGTAGATAAAAATGGGAATGTGTTGAGTAGTTTCCAGGGACGATGGCGCCGTCCGTCAAAAGAGGATAGATTGACGGATATCCCGGGATGGTAAGAGATCTAGCATACATATACATGGCATGGATATCTGCTAAATGACTCTGTTTAAGGCCAGCATCCGAATCCACGCCATCAAGCTGGCCCATTGGCCCTACCTTTAAAGACACAAACACGACAATGTCAGGTCCATTAATGACCTCCGCCATCGCATTATTCGGCGAAAACTCCCTCTTTGCAGTCGCCAACACATCCACAAACGCCACCACGCCTCTCCTCCTCGACCAAATCTGTCGTCTCAACCGCCTCCCCTTCTCCACATTCCGCAGCTACCGCGACTACACCGCCGCATGTTCCTCTCAAGCAGACGATACCCAGCGCCTCCTCCAAATAATGCAAAACTTCACAACAGTCCTCTTCTCAGACACAACAGCCACAGAACGCTACCTCTCCGCAAGCATGTACGTCTTCTCTCTCTCTTCCCCTCCTCCCATTCTAACCTCCCAAAAAGCTTCCACGCCAACCGCGCCCTCCTAACCCAAACCTCGCTCAAAACCTCCGGCACAACCGGCCGCCCCCTACATTCCTCCCCAGGAACTTTCATTCCCGCCCCTAGCATCTCGCTCACAGGCGTAACCCTCGTCTCCCTCCTACTCCTCCTCCAGCTCCTCGGTCTCGCATACCTTGCATACTACATCTACAAAGTCCCTACCTGGGCCCCGCATCTCGACGCCCTGTCCATTGCTCGCATCACAGCTAGTCTCGACCGCGGTATCGTGCCGGGGCTGGGTGCCATGTATGCATCTGATATGCAGCGTCTGGATAGCACGGATGCGACGGTTGGGATCGTCGAGGGGGAGTACGCTTCTGGTTCTGCAGAGCCGGTGACGGAGGGTAAGACGGTGGAGTTGGGACTCGGTGCTTCGGGTGTGTTTACGAGGCGCTTGGCGAGGTTTAGAGTAAGGAGAGCTGAGGCGGCGAGCGAGATGGAATGTCGCTGTGAGGGGTGTAGGAGGCGTGATAGGGGAGGGAGTGTGTCGTCGACTTCTTCGTATAGGTAGATTTTTTGGGTATAGAGAATAGAGCATGATTCAATGACTACGCTCCATTTTTATGCCATGTATCAATTACACTGTTTTCCATTCTTCCTGCCTTTGTTTATTGCTGTCTCCAAAAACACAATTCATTATCGTCTCGTATCCAAAAAAACAGTGTGGGTATTTGTCCCACACCCACGCCGCCCATCCAAAAGATATTAATCTTGCTCCTACCCCGCATCTCGACGCCCTGGCAAAAGGGCTTTTAGTGGACCAGCAAATCGTGGTATCCAGTAACGGCCCCTCCAGGTGATCCTATGTTATCGACTCGCACCTCAAAGACCCGTTAATATGTTATAGTCAGTGAGTATATCGATGTAACCATTAATCGCGGACTTATCGCACGCAAACGCTCCTATTGTAGACTGGAATGCGGCCTGAGTCGTTGATAGCGGTCAAGAGGCAAGGTTTGAATGAAACAGGTTAACCCTGCCGCAGCGAGAGCAGAACTTCTCGCTGCCTACTTAAAAGAGTAGCCATCTCCCTAGTTAGATTTAATCCGATAGATCCCACTCGTTGAAGTATGCCTTTGAGGTGCTAGAACACGCTCTAGAACATAATTGGTGAACTCCTGAGATAAACTCATGGACCTCTCGTCACAAGCCTGTGAGATACTAAAGCATATCTAAGGACTTATTGTGTTAAATGCCTTTGAGAAAACTTAAGGACTTCTCGTTAATGATCTGTTGAAGTGAGTATGTTTAAATCAAAGGTAAGAAGGGTAAAAATGAGAAGGGGTTAGACGATCAGTTTGCGCAAGAGCTTAAGTTAGTCTATAGCCTCTAGCTAAAATGGCCTTTAGTTAATTTAATAGCGTGACATAATAATAGCTACTCTTAGGACTAGGTGGAAAGCGGATTGTCTCTAAGACTTTTGAGCGTTTTTAAAGGTAACGGTGTTACGTACTCGATTTCGCAGTCGAGGCACGTTGATTGCAGTGCTATTGGCTTCTAATATAGCCATCAACAGGCCAGATATGATTGCAGGGTCGCTTGTGTCTCGGATCTCCGCCAGATATGATCGCAGTGCCATTGGCTTCCAATATAGCCACCAACAGGCCAGATATGATCGCAGGGTCGCTTGTGTCTCGAATCTCCGCCAGTTTGGCAGCTAAAGCTGTTCTGTATGTTGCTGCGCGGCTGCCCACCTCGAGTATGGCGACCGCTGTGCCAAGAAAACTGCGGTATCGATTGGCAGCTGCGTATCTGCGAATATCGCGATAGATGCTGTTGGTATTGAGTATGGTGTTGAGTATGGCTATAGTTGACGCTATTAGTAGTAGTCCCTAATTGGCTGATCAGTTATGTGGCATGTGCAATACCGCGGAATGCAATGACAGATAATACTGTAGTAGTAGCAGACGCGTGGGTCGAATTGGTATGAAAAGGATTTGCACTTCTGATTTCTAGCTTGAAGGGACAAGAAGCTGGTAAGCCCTCTGATAAAGCTCAGAACATGGGTCGAAGAAGCTGAGACCTGGCTACACCTTGTAGGTTAAGAGCACTAGAGTTCCAACGCTTTTCGGCAAAGCAGCAAGGCCCATAAGGGTCTCCTGAGGGTTGTCCTTCTAATTTCTAGCTTGAAGGGATAAGAAGCTAATGAAATCCCCTTCTGATAAAGCTTAGAATATAGGTAGAAGAAGCTAGTCGAAGACGTAGGGAATCGGTTCGACTCGAGTAATTGGACGCGGAGAGTAAAGCCGACTCGGACCGGACGATTGACTAAGCCTCGACAAGTCGATAATTAGGGCTACAACATGAACGCGGCATCCTTTAAGTCTTTATTGTTATCCTCTTCTTTCACTTCCCTTCTTTACCTCCTTATTTAACTTGCTGGACTTCCAGTGCGAACACTGTATCCCTAGCGGAAGAAGAATAAGGGAGGTCCTCCACCTACTAACAGTCGCTCGAGATGCCCCGGCAGCCTGGATGATGAGCTTCAACAGACCAGAAGTGTGTCCTCTACCCACCACTAGTCGCTCGAGATGCCCCGGCAGCCTAGATGATGTGCGTCGACAGACCAGAAAAAGCTTATGAATCGGTCGGTCGGTCGTTCGTTCGCTCGTTCGTTCGTCCGTTCGTCCGTTCGTCCGTTCGTCGATGAGTTGGTTGTAGAAGAGTAATGCAAACTGCGGGGCGGAAGCATTTGCCTACGTGAGTGCCATTTTAGGCAAGAGCACGAGAACTTCAGTATAGGGGGAGTGCGTAGGAATCACACGAGTACATTAAAACACTAGAAATATTGCAAAGTCTTGCTAATTGTAATGGGAATATTTAAAATAACGGGTGTACTATATGATAGCTTATGATCTAGTAAACTGGGTGAACGAAGGAACAATCTCTATCAAATCACACAATGCATGCGCGCCTTAGTTCTCGTTTGTGGCAATTATGTTGTATCTTCCTTTCCATGAATCTATATTATCGCTATTAGGGAACAGTCCAGCATTAAGTTCGTCTTGGCGACAAGAGTGGTTGTCTTGCTGTACCCCTAGATCGCGGTAAGATGCGAACTCGTCCTAGGGGAGCCTCTATACGACTTTTTACCGTTATGCTTCGTTGGCCGTTCTGTTTGCCTAACAGAACTTCCTAGCTTTAGGTTACGGCAACCTAAAGTACTGCGGGATCTGAAAAGATGTTATGCGCTTATCTGTACTGACACCTCTAGGAATGAAATCTGAAAAGATGTTATGCGTTCTTTCGCACTGCTATCTCCAGGAGCAAAAGATGCTATGATCTTTTAAGTCCTGCGACTAGTAGAACTTGATAAACTACTGACCTCTTTAGGTGTAGTAAGATCGTCTGGGGGTAACGTATTGCGATCTTGATTACCTCCGTCGCTATTCTTGAAGTTGCTAATGTATGCGAGAATCTCTAACATACGTGCTATATCCGGAATAGCTTTCCTCTCTTTGAGGTGGTTAAGGAAGTCTTGGCCGTCAAAGGTAGTAATACCACCAAGTCCTCGAAAGTTGCGGAGATTAGTTGGGATAATCTCTGGACATACCTTGTTAAACTGGAAGATTAACTGTGCAGTTACGCCACAGTGATCTATAATCTATTGCAAGAAGCTCTTCAAGTAGTTGGGCCTAGTGTGAAGGCCATTAGGCGCGCGCACTAGTATAGTCACCTTCTTGTTCCGAATCTCTGGCTTATTGAACTAACTTCGAATATCTGTTACGAAACTAGATATTTTACCCTTCGCTCTAAACTAGTTGGTTGGATGGCCGCTGTGTCTAATACCACAGTAGGACTATACTCTGGTAAAAGTCATGGGACTCGGGCGATTCGCTGCAAGGCGATCTGCCAGGATGTAGCCCTCTGCCTTCCGACGATCGCAGTTGGCCGTAACTCGCTTAGCGAAAGTCATGGTATTGTCGGGGCCTACCTTGATTGGTTTGCCGGAAGATAGCCGGTAAATTATAATGTAAAACTCCCCCGTGGGCTGTACGGGTGGGAGTGGAACGGAGGGCAGGTTGACGGTCTCCTCCGATTATGCTTGAGTGGGAGAGGAGCTTCGGGGCAAGGCTGGCAAGCTACTTCCCTCTTCTACCTCTTCTGGTATAGATATAGTCGGAGCTTGCTTACTGACTCTGTCTTGGTGTTCGCCGTCGTCGTCGTCGATATACTTATATTCTGGTTCTCGGTTAGTATGTTTGATCGACTCGCCTTTATCTAAGAGAACTCTAGATTCTTCTTCTCTTCAGCTCGCTATGCTGCATGCTTGATGTACGCTGTTGCTAACGATAAATCCGCTCTAAATTAAATCTTGAGCGGCGGCTTCTTGTCTTCTAATAAACTTACCTTTATTAGTAGGGAGGTCTGGCTCCTGCTCGTCCTTATCCTCTTCTTCTCGCCTTGTTATGGGCTTGTCGAAGGCTACTGATGATGATTCTGCAGCTGCAGCTGCGTCAGCCTCCTCTTGAGCGGCCGCTGCTTGCTTAGCTGCCATCACCAGCCGCTTTGGCTTCGGTGGGCGCATCTTGCGATAGCCACGCCTCTTGCTAGACTTCTTACCTATGTTGTTAGTAAAAAAACGGAAATTTGAAAATGAAAATGAAAATGAAAATGAAAAATTTAGGTACGGGTGATGAGGAAAGAAAATGTGAGATGAGATGGGAAGGCGATGGTAGTTAAGCCATTCTGCTTGACCGGGAAGGCGCACCTAGAAGGAAGGCATGCCTATCTTAATGCACAACATGTACTTATAGCCCTAAGAGTAGTATTTTCCGCATTGATGCTGCTAATTAGAAGTTACTATGAGGTTTCTCTTGATTCCTGTATTACCCTACGCTTAATTATTAGTCGATCTAATAATAACACTAAGACTCGTATAAGAGAAGGTCTAGAACATAAACTATACTTACGTAGCTCTAAGAACAGCATATTATATATTAGAGTTACTATTTAGAAGCTATTGTAAAAAGTAGTTATATAGAGTAAAGCAACTATAGCTAAGACTAGAGCATTTCATTTTATAAAATAGCAAGAGATATAACTAAGCTAATTCAGTATACAGTAGTATTAATCACATTAGGCATAACATGTATGCTGAGACAACAGCCAACCCTACACATCACTTCTAGTTTCATCCTTTCTTCTTCTTATTCTACTAGTTATCTAAAGAGAATACGTATATATTACTTATTATAACAAAGGGAAATAAGCATAATAGCGCGTAACGTGGTTCACAAGCGAGTCGGCCACCCAAGCGAGTCGGCCACTTTGCTCCGACGCGTTAACGTCAACACTATAACACGTAATGACTCAACAACGCAACTCTCAAACTTTATACTCTGAATCAGATCTTCAAATTGCTCT